TTTTTTTTTTTTTTTTTTTTTTTTTTTTTTTTTTTGAGACAGGATTTCTCTGGCTTTGGAGCCTGTCCTGGAACTAGCTCTTGTAGACCAGGCTGGTCTCGAACTCACAGAGATCTGCCTGCCTCTGCCTCCCGAGTGTGCGCCACCACCACCCGGCTCTCAGTTCATTTTTTAATGAAAAGCATGACATGCAAATGCAAAATAAACATGGGGACTGGGGATACACTTCAGTGGAAGAACACCCGCCTGGTATGATGAAGTCCTCCACTTATCCCTGGCATCCTCAGCTACAAAGCTAGTTCGAGACCAGCACAAACTAGATGAGACCCTGTCCCAAAGCAAATAAAAAGTAAACACAGGCTCAGGGACGATTTTACCAGCAACTGTAGAAGTCAGAAGGATGGTAAAATAGATCCTAACAGCTTGTGAAGGATCTTTTTTTTTTTTTTTTTTTTTTTGAGCCACCCAGAAGAAGGAAACAGAATATTGATTTCAGACAATTGGATTGACAGCTAACGTGGCTAGGTGTGGAGTTATTATTTACTCTAATGTCCATCTTTCTACTCATTGCAGAAGGCTGACCCTTAGGAAATGCCAAGACTGTAAGCACAGCTAGACAACAAAAAAGGTTCATTGCCTAAAGCAAGTAAGGAAAACAGGAAATGATCCTCAAGATAGTATCCTCTCCAAGGAAATAAAAGGGCTTTTTATTATTATTTTATGCATCTTTATACAGGAAAAGCTCATTACATGTTGAAGGGGGCACATCCTTGAGCATGCCCAGTTCACTTCCCTCAGTCTCTCACCTGCTCTTCCCTGCCTTGTCCCCCTTTTCCCAAATAGTCCCTTTTATGTATCACACACACACACACACACACACATTTTCACACACACACGTGCATATACACACTTTGTATGCATGTGTGTACATGCCCGTTCATGGATGGGTATGTAGAGGTCAGAAGGGAACTGTATTAGTTCTTTTCTATTACGATGATGAAACACCATAACAAAGTTTTTGTTATTGTTTGTTTGTTTGTTTTTCAAGACAGGGTTTCTCAATGTAGACCTGGCTGTCCTGGAACTTGCTCTGCAGACCAGGCTGACCTCGAACTCAGAGATCCACCTGCCTTTGCCTCCCAAGTGCTGGGATTAAAGGTGTGTGACATCACCACCCACCATAGCCAAGTTTTATAAACTCTTATAGAAGAGCTGAGTTGGGCTTATAGCTCCAGGGAGTTAGAGCCCAGGATGGTGTGGCGTGAAACAGGTTGACAGGCAGCCGCAACAGCAGGTGAGAGATTGTATCCAGGGCCACAAACAGGAGGCAGAGCGCACACTGGGATAAGAGTCTTTTGAAACATCAAAGCCCACCCTCAGTGACACACTTCCCCTACCAAGGCCACACCTCTTAATCCTTCTCAAACATTTCCACCAACTGGAGACCAGGCATTCAAATATATGAGCCTGTGGGGGTCAATCTAATTCAAACCACCACAGCAACTTGGTGTGTCTTTTCTCTTCAAACGCCACCCACCTTGATTTTTAAGACAAAACATCTTCATGGGTCCTGGGGCTCACCAATTAAGCTAGGCAGGCTGGCCAGCAAGCACGGGGGATCTTTCTGTCTCTGCCTCCCCAGGGCACACACTACTATGCCCAGCCTTCTGTTTAAGTGCAGAGGGATCAAACTCAAGGTCCCCATGGTTGTGCAACAAGCATTTATTTTCTTTGGTTTTTCGAGACAGGATTTCATTGTGTAGACCTGGCTGTCCTGGAACTCACTCTTTAAACCAGGTTGTCCTCGAACTCACAGAGATACGCCTACCCGCCTCTAACCCCCAAGTGTTGGGATTAAAGGCACACACCACCACCACTACCACTAGGCTATGCAACAAAGCATTTTATTATCTGAGCCATCTCCCTAGTCCCTATTAGCTTTAAATCCAACAAATGAGAGATACTATATAAAGTTTTTCTGTATCTGAAGCATTTGGCTTAACATAACATAACTCTAGCTCCACTCATATCCTGATATAATTACAACCATCTTTAGACTATCTGAGTAAAGCTTCATTGTGTATATGTTCTACATTTTCTTTACCCATCTGGTAAATAACTTGGTGAATACTGCTGCAGTTAACATAGAAGTTGTGCTGGCTAGTTTTATGTCAACCTGACGCAAGCTAAAGTCATCTGAGTGGAAGGAGCCTCAACTGAGAAGAGGCCTTCATAAGAGTGGGTGTGGCAAGCCTGTAGGACATTTTCTTAGTTAGTGATTGAAGGAGAAGGGTCTAGGTCTTTTGTGTGCAGTGCCACCCCTGAGCTAATAGTCCTGGGTATTATGAAAAAGCAGGCTGAGCAAGCCAGTGGGAGCAAACCAGTAGGCAGCACCCGTCCACGGCCTCTGCATCAGCTCCTGCCTCCAGGTTCTTGTCCTGACTGAGTTCCTGCCCTCACTGCTTTTGATATGAGCAATTATATGAAACTTTGAGTGAAATAAACCCTGTCTTCCCCAAGTTGTTTTTGGTCATGGTATTCTTCATAGCACTAAAAACCCTAAGATAGACGCCTTTAATCCCAGCACTCAGGAAACAGAGCTCCAAATTCATTCTCCAAGGAACTAGAGTTGCAGACTATAGTGAACTGCCACATGGATGCTGGGAGCTGAACCTAGGTCCCCTGCAAGAGCAGCAAGTCTTCTTACCTGCGCAGCCATTGCTCTAGCCTGTTCATTTCTGTACAGCAGAGCACATTGTTTCATGCAGCTGTCCAGTTATCCCGACTGTTGGGTGAAGAGTTTTTCTCCAAAACATGTCTTTGGCTACTTTCTTGAAAATGATGTCAGATGATTTTACTTCTATTTACAGTCTATTACACTGATTTACATGTTTTTGCTTTGCTTTCATTGGAATTTGTGGATCACTTTAGGTCATAGTCATTTTCTTTCTTTTTTTTTATTTATTAAAGATTTCTGTCTCTTCCCCACCGCCGCCTCCCCTCATAGTCATTTTCATTATGTTAATTCTACCAGTTCTTTAAGCATGGGAGTGAAGGGGACCCCTGAATAGTAGGCGGGGGAGCTTCCTCCTGAACTCTGGATAAGGCACACTTAAACACTTGGGGGTTTTTTGTTTTGTTTTTTTGAGACAGGTTTTAGAGCCTGTCCTGGAACTAGCTCTTGTGTGCGGGCTGGTGTTCCTGCCACCCAGCTCCCAGCCACCTGGCTAGCTTATGCCCCAAAATAATGACACACAAACTGTATTCATATAAACACTGCTTGGCCCATTTCTATTAATGTGTGTAGCACCACGAGGTGGTGACTTATCTTGCCTAACCCATATTTAGTAATCTATGTAGCACCAGTCTTACCGGGTAAGATTCAACATGTCTGACCTGGCAGCTTGCTTCATCACATCTGCCCTGGAGAGCAGAGGCATGGCGTCTGCCTCATTTCCTCTTCCTCCCAGCATTCTGTTCTGTTTACTCCACCCACCTATGTTCTAACCTATCAGGCCAAGCAGTTTCTTTATTAATTAACCAATGAAATCAACAGATTGATATATGACACTCCCACATCATTTCCCCTTTTTCTGTTTAAACAAAAAAAGGCTTTAACTTTATCATAGCAAAATTACATATACCAAAAGTTATCAAGCAATAATTAAGTTACAATGTTTATACCTACTTTATCTTTTATCATAACTAAGGAAAACTAAACCTATGACTATCCATTCTTCAACTCCATCAAAGACTCCAGAAGAATATAATATTACCTAATTAAACAAGAAATAAGCAACTTTCAAAGCTCTAGAAATGACAGAGACAACTCGCTGCCTGGACAGTCACCCAAAGTTCCTCTGTACCATTGGGGCATCCATCTTCGGCCTTCAGGCCCATAGTATCCAGAGACATTTCCATGAAGCAGGAAATTTCAAAGTCAGTTCAGTCACTATCTGCTGTGTCCTGCAGAATGTCTTGCAGACTCTTTCATGAATCAGGAACCCCAAAAGATCATCTCACCTTTAGGCAAGTTCAGCAGTCCTCTTTCTGCGGGTTCTTTGTGTCCAGTTTATGAAACAGTCCAGGCAAGATCAGTTTCTTGCTCAAATGGCTATCAAACTCCATAAGGATCCTCTTCAATGCCCATCTTCCTCTCGCACCACCACCACCCAGCCAGAGATCATTTATTAATTGGAGAAGAAGTTAAATTCTTACTCAGGCAGAAAAACAGGAGCAAATGACCTTGCAGGTGTAAATTTGGGGGGGAGTTGAATATACTGGAACTCTAGTTACAGACAGTTGTGAGCCGCCATGTGGGTGCTGGGAATTGAACCTGGGTCCTCTGGAAGAGCAGCCAATGTTCTTAACCACTGAGTCATCTCTCCAGCCCCAACAGGTATAATTTTTAAGAGAAGAATGGGAGATCTGTGTTAGAATGGGTTAGGGTGCTGTGGTAAAGGAGATAGAGGTGAGGAAGAAGGAGGAGACAAGGGAAAGGGGACAGGGATATTGGTTCCAAGGGGACGAAGGGCTGCTCTGGATAGAGGAGACAGACATGGCACATAAGCAAATGGCGGTTTATAAAGGTAAAGGGGGAACCATGTTAGGATGAGGTGTTTAATTTTAATTGGATATGTTAACTAGGTGAACCAAAGTGGGCTTCTGATTGTTTGACAACTTTGGTTGTCAGCCTCAAGAGGAGGAAGTGGTCATGTAAGGGAATATTTTTTGGTGGCTAGCTTTAGGAATGTAATCTAATGGTTTTTAGGAAGGCAGAGAGAATGGGGGAGAAGGGCAAGACCTGCCAGAGCCATATTTGTCATGATCAAGCTGGCCAGAGTTCCTTCAGGAAGGTCTTTTCCTGATATGATTCTGCAGAGAGGAACCTTGGCAGATGGGGTCTAAACCATGGCAGATGAGAGCCCATGGCAGGTGAGGGACAGACATGTCATATAGTGGGAGTTTCATTGATATAAAGGGGGGGGGGAGAGAGAGAGAATCAGAGAGCAGCTTGCTTCTTTATTCATAACAGTGGGAAGAGAGTGACAATGGGCAGAGCTTGTCTCTTAAAGGGACCTTTTGCACCGGCCTACAGACTAGGAACCGTGAGGTAGCAGCCTTAGGACCTGGGCTGACCAGGGTACTGCCTGAGTGCATCCTCCCAAGTGACAGGGGCCAGCATAACGTCTGAATCCTAACGTTTCCATCTTCTACTGTCTTCATTTTTTCTCCAGTGTCTTAAAGTTTTCATTGCACAGATCTTCCTTTGGAGAGGCTGTTTGTTTTCCAATTGTCTTTCTGGCATCAGTTCCATTGAGCTACATGGGGTTTCAGTAGGTGCATGGGTTATCATCTAGGTCTTCTATTCAGTTCCATTGTTTATTTTTGTGTCAGTATCAGGCTATTTTTGTTACTATTTACTCAAGCCAGACACACGACAGAGTTATTGTGATTATGAGCACTTTTTTTGTTTTGTTTTATTTTGGTTTTTTTGAGACAGGGTTTCTCAATGTAGCCTTCGCTGCCCTGGAACATACTCTGTAGTCCAGGCTGGCCTCCAACTCACAGATCCACCTGCCTCTGCCTCCCGAGTGCTGGGATTAAAGTCGTGCACCACCACTGCCCAGCGAGCACTTTCTTTCCAGACCCCAGCTCTACTACCTGGGTGATTCTTCCACTCTTTAGTGCAGTGGTTCTCAACCTTCCTAATGCTGTGACTCTTTAATACAGTTCCTCATGTTGTAAAGACCCCAATCTGCTACTTCATAGCTGTAATTTTGCTACTATTGTGAATCGAAATGTAAATATTTGATATTTAGGGTATCTTATAGGCAACCTCTAAGGGGGTTTCGACACACAGGTTGAGAACCACTGCTTCAGGGTAAGGAAAGCTGGCTGTTAATAATTCAGTGGTTTATGGGGCTTATTCCTCTCTCTAAATACTTCATTCTATGTCTGAGCCTCAATTTTTACAAAGAACTATTATTATTGTTCTCTGCGGTGGCATCCCATTTCTGAAGAGAAATAATGTTTAAAACCTGAGAGTGCTCCCTTGCAGAGATCTAGTCTTACTCTTCCCCGTGCTGTACTTAATAAACAAGCCGAGTTTCCCGGCTGTGGTGTGGTCTCTATCAGAGCCAGTAGTCCATACTACCCCAATCTTTCTGTATGTGTCACCGCATGTCTGTCCTTCTTTCCCTCACTTGCTACAGTCAGGTCAAGTGCCAAATGACATGCCATACTCCAGCCATTGCATCCTCCATGGCTCAGGCCATGATGGAAGGGACACTGGGAGTTACTACCCTCTACAACTTAGGGTGAGGTCTTCTATCTTTTGGCTTGGAGTATTTTGTTTTTGAGTCAGGGTCCTATAATCCTAGTTAGCCTAAAACTCTCTACACAGACCAAAATGGCCTTGAACTTGCTGTGATCTTCCTGCCTCTACCTCTGATAAACCACAATGCCCAGGTAGGCTACCTATCTTGAAACAAAAGAATTCTCTAGAACAAGAGGAGGCTACCTATCTTGAAACAAAAAGAATTCACTAGAACAAGAGGTACCATCTGGGAAGTTGAGGAAGCGCTGAGTGGATGTGTATTGTTGACAAGGGCACAGCCATATTAAGGACCCAGTGCCTCAGACACACGGGAATGGCAAAGCTGTCCCTGTACAGATGAGGTTCAGAGGGACGGCAAAGCTTCCTCTAGTCCAAGTGTGAAAACACTAGTGTTTAGGAATGACTCATCGGTGTGTGCGAGAACTAACAAGTACAGCTTCCTCCTGGGTGTTCACAGCTGGAGACCGCTCCCCTGCAGAGATGTACAAGCTGGGTTTCACTAGTGTGGTAAGTCCTAGCGCTCTCTTAGTGCCAGCGCAGCTCACACCACGACCCAGCCTTTTTTTGTCACTGTGTGTTTGTCCTTCATCCCGCACTTACCAGTCAGGTCAAAGTTTCAAGCACCTATGGATGCAGAGACACTGGAAATAGCAAGCTTCATTAAATAAAATGTTGATGTTTCACTAAGAGACAAAAGCAAGTCATAAAGCCCTTTCAGCAACTCTCTCACGATTGGAAGGATACATAGAATGGTGATAAATCATGTAAATTTTATTTTCTTTATACTTTCTGGTATGTTTAAATGAATTTTTTTAGAAGAAAAAATTCCTAACACTAAAGTACATAGAGCATGGGGTCTCTGCCAACTTTACTTGTGATGAGATTAATATCTAGAATACAAAAAGAACTTTTAAAATCAAATACCAACATCCCCAATCAGCCAATCAATGGGCAAATAAACTGAACAGACAGTTCTCAAAAATAATTACAAATAGTTGCATTAACACTTAATTTAAAAAATTACTAATGGCCAATAAATACATAAAAACACTGTTCAACATTCTTAACCATCAGAGAAATACAAATTTAAAAACTATGATGAGACTGCATTTCACCCACTCAGCCTGGCTGTCAGAAGACAACAAGTGCCATTGAAAATGTGGAGGAAGAGGAGCATGACACGCTGTGGGGAGGATTTATGAAGTGCAGTCACTATGGAAAGAAGTCTGACGTTTCCTCAGCGAACGCAGAACTACCTAACTATACTCCTCCTGGGGAGACACCCACAGGAATCCTGAGGATTACAGCGGAGCCAGTCACCGCAGCCAGACTAGCCCATCAGCAGACACACAATGGCATGTTACTCATCCACACAAAATAGACCTGTGTCGGCATCTGCAGGAAAATGGATGGACCAGGAGACCATGATGTTAAACAAAATCAAAGCTGGGTGTGGCACACACCTGTAATTCTAGTACTTATTAAGCCAGGAGGATTGCTTCAAACTCAAGGCTAGCCCAGCGGTTAAAAACTGTTGCAGAGAACCCAAGCTGGTCCCGAGTCCCACATCAGGTGGCTCAGAACTGCCTGTAATTCCAGCTCCAAAGGAATCCAACCTCTCAGGCCTCTGAAGGCATCTGCACTTTATGTATAAACACACAAATTAAATAAATGTATTTTTTCCTTAAAAAAATAAACCCTTTCCGCAAACACCGCATTCTCACTCAGTGTAGTCTTTTTTTTTAATTATTTATTTATTATGTATACAATATTCTGTCTGTGTGTATGCCTGCAGGCCAGAAGAGGCCACCAGACCTCATTACAGATGGTTGTGAGCCACCATGTGGTTGCTGGGAATTGAACTCAGGACCTTTGGAAGAGCAGGCAATGCTCTTAACCACTGAGCCATCTCTCCAGCCCACTCAGTGTAGTCTTTATTCAAAGCACACACACAAACATACAGCAACTGTCAGTGAAGAGGAAAGAGACCAGAAGGGGAAGAGGGCCATGGGAGATAAATACATATGATGAAAATGTCATAACAAAACCCATCATTTCCTAACACAAATAAACTAGTAATAGAAGGAATGAAGTGTTGCCTTGCTTGACAAAGTGAACGTTGAACTCATGCTAAGTCAGATAAGCCAGATACAAAAGATCACAATTCTATTCATGTAAAACATCCAGAATGGTGAACCTACACGAGAAGGTTGGTGATTACTATGGGCAGGGAGAAAGGGGGGTGAAGGAGGAGCACAGTTTGTTTCAAGTAGAAAAATATTCTAGAACCAGGGGAAGTGAAAGTTGTCCAATATTATGAATACTACTGAAATGTACACTTAAAATGCTAAACTTTAACACATCAATTTCATTTTATAAAATGCTGTTTACAGATGCACAGGTCTTACATACACAACTCAGTAAGTTTGAGCAAGCACGCCATCCACAAAACCAAAACCCATGTTGTAGGTAGCATTGTTATCAACCCACAAGGTTCCTTCTTTACCATTGTTATAAAGGTAACCACTGCTGCTTTCGGCACCCACGGCTGAGTTCCCCTCCAAGTTTCAGTTAACTGTATATATTATGTCTTCCTATGTCGCTTTGGGTCACAGGTAGATATACTGTCTTTATAAATTACTTCAGGGATTTAGTTGTGATCAACATCTTATGCTCACACATGTCACATATTCAAGTTGCAATGGCTTTACCCACTCCAGCTGGTCACAGCTCTCCCTTTCAATCTTAGCTACTGTTACTTCCTTGTGACCATGGTTTTAATGTCTATACCTCATGAAATGGGAGTGTGTGGTGTGTGTGTGTGTGTGTGAGTACGCACATGTGCGCTGTTTCTTAGCCAGCTTTGGGCCAGGGAGTATGGTTCAGCAGTAGACCACTTGTCTAGCACTGTCTGAGACCTTGGGTTAGATATGCAGCACTGAAAAATAAGAAAAAAAATTTAAAAGGAAAGAATATCAGCTTTATTTACTTATGTATATACTCATTTCAATTTTGATGTCTGCCAACTATATAAAGTGATGACAACCAGAATCAAGACAAAGAATATCCCAATGTAGCGCTCTACAACCCCCAACCCCTCAGTCATAACTAGGCAGTCCCCAGGCAGTCCCTGCCGTCTATGATGCCCACCTCCGTTTCTAGAATGGAGTCAGGAAGCACGTACACGTTTCTGACTTCTTTCACGGGTCCCATTTTTTCCTCTTATGTCTAAACTCTATATATTGACAGATGCTCATCTATTCTTTTCTGACCACATGGGCTGTTCTTTCTAAACAACCAAGCTGGCAATCAATGAACCTGTGCATCCTTGCCAACAATACAGGCATTTCTACCGATGACTGCACTTCCAGGCAGGGGCATTTCAGTATTTGAGCCTATTAGTGTAATTTTTCTTGTTTTTATTACCTGGCAGCTTATAGGGCTCTAAACTTTCAAGCTAATTATCTCGGTCAAAGCGAGTTCTCCAGTCCATGTGGGGGTTGGTTCTAGGAGCTCCCAGTATCAAAGCACACAGATGTTTCAGTCCCTTAGGAAAACGAGTACCATTTGCCACATTTAACCTGCGCACATCTCTGGTGGACTTCAAATGTCTAGATTATCATACTCAATACAATGCGAATGTTGAACAGTTGTACTGTTTAGAAGCACCGGCTGTCGGACACAGCCTCCACAGGCCTGAGAACATTTGCTAAGCTGTCACAGCTCTGCCCTGAAACCCCTGGTACTGTTGCTGCAACTCCAAGAAGGATATGGCTTGATGACCATTGCTATTTTAGGATTCATTTGAAATCTACAATGTGAGGCATTTTTTCTTTAGATGTCTTATACCCAATTTAATCCCCATAACTACATCCAAGAGATTGATATACCTGTAACTAAACTGAAATTCAGAAGATAGACATTTCAAATGTTGACTCTGGTGGTATTCCCAATCTCTGCACATCTGCTGGCTAAGGCACAAATGGGTCTTAGAATGCCACACTGCTGCAGACCCTGCTGTGATCTCTCCATAAGAAACCCACTAAGACCGACCTCCAGACTGTTTGCTACTCCCACTATCTTAAGCTGACGGAAGGAGGTCCAATGAGTCCACACAGGTCCCCAGGTATTAGAGGAATGTTCAAGGCTAGGCGTTGCTGGAGAGGCTAGATCAAAATCCCAAGTGACAAAATACAGCTCTCTGAAAGTCACTGTTTCCAGGCCCAAAGCAAACTAAAGACGAGCAGTAATCAGAGGGAGCCTTCAGCACTAACAAGAAGCCAACAGGGGACGCTCCCTAGCAGCGCTCATCACCTTATTCCAGATAACGAATTCTGCTGCAGGACTTGGAAACCGCTGTGTGTGGATTAACCTTTAATCAGCAGTGCTGAGCTGCCGCAGTAACCACCGAATGTTCTTTGGCTATGGTGATGGGAAGTCACTTTCCTGAGAATGGACCTGAAGTGACACCATCCCGACACCGTTGCTAGGTCCACGCAGCAATCCTCTGGGTCCTACTTGACTCAGAATCTTCTGTGCTGTTTGTCTTAGACACTAGGTACTCACTCACTCTTATTATTCTTTGTCAGTCAAGGTGCTTGGGATAACCAAATTACCAATTCACACACATATTCAGGATGCTTAATGTTCCCCTCCCTGGGACACTTGCATGCTGTAAAGATTAAACCGGCCAAGAGATTCCCATGGGAGTGACGATGAAAACTGCTTTGATGAGCACTAGGTGAAGAGCAGTGAGGGTCTCTTCTAGGATCTCTCTGTAGCTGTGCCCCTTCCTTCAAGGAAGAGCTTTGCTGGTCTGCCTTTGCTTCCAATGTGCTGAGATTAAAGGCGTGAGCCACCATGCCATTTCAAGGGGAGATTTTTACATTTCTTGCACAGAATAATTCTCGGTCCTTTTGTTTGCTTGGATTTTTCACAGCCCTGCAGGGTAGGTCTCACATTCACACTGCAGTAAAAAAAGACTATTTCATTCCTTACTCAGGAGCATTTGCTTCTGTTCTTCCAGAGGCTGGGTGAGTTCTGAACTTGGGAAAACAACTGATGCATTCTGATAATTCTGACGTTTTCAACTACACTTCCAAATTTAAAACTCTCAAAAACTAGTACTTTTTAAAACTCCCTCAATTCAACTGAATTCTATTGTTAACTAGTCAGTGCTAAAATACGCAGTGAAATAATTTACCAAGATTTTACTCTCTTGAGAATGAAAGGTAAGGCGATACATAAACCCCACTTTTTCTCCCACTAGCAAAACAGACCATAGACCTTCAAATGTAAGAAAGATTCAATACAGTGTGTGGCTGGGAACAACAATGCACAGACTATCCTAGCATTTGTGAGGCAAGCCTGGGTCACAAAGTGAGGCCATTCCTCAGAACACAAAACAGAAACTGCCAGTGTACTGCTGTCTCATCAGGGGGTCCCCAAGTCCCTCCCCCTGGTGGACCCCAGTCTGCTGCAATGCTGGTCCTTCTATGCAGTTGTGGGGTTGGACACTGATGCTAATGGGAACCGAGGAAAGTTCACTTTCTAGGAATAAACTGGTTCAATCAGGCCTCTGCCCAGAGACGTGCATTAGGCACAGTGCTGCTGAGTGGAGGCCTGCTTTCTCTTTGCACGTGTACACCAGAATACTGTAACCAGGAGGACAAGAGGGTGTTGGCTACTGATATCAGACTTTCCAGAACTCTCCCTCCCACTGTGGACTGATTTTGCAGTCTTTATCATTGAACAGAAAGTACTGCTGAGGACTTTGCTATCCAGCTCTCTTCACAACTGTCAACACACTTTCACCTCCTCTGTAACCATGAACCCAGTCAGGTACCTTATCTTCCCAGGTTCCGTGCCAATTGTCTACAGGACTCCAGGACCCATAAAGAAAGAAGTTTTCCTCTTTCCCAAACTCAAAAGAGTGAGTATTAGATCAGGGTGAGACTGAGTTGATGGGCTTCTAACCTGGTGTGCAAAGGGCAGACATGAGGCCAATTGGCTTCTTATGTGCTCCACTGCTAGAAAAACTAGAGACTGTAGGTCCCAGGGAGGAGGAGTGCTAGGCTAAGGAAGACCATAGTTTAGTGAAACTCTTCCCACCTTGGGCTCTACCTGCCCGCAGTGAGGAGAACAGTAGTGCTTCTGGCTCAGAGGCCAGTGTCCTTGGAGAGCTGTATGCACAGTTCACTCAGGCAGTGTTTATTCAGTGCTCAGTGTTTACTGAGTCCATAAGGGAGGTAGATTTAGCTGAATATTAACTGTCAGAGATGAGAAGTCTGTCCAAAAAAATGATTGTGCTAAAACCTGCCTGCGAAGGCACCAAACCCTGCTCAAAGCAATACTGACTAGAAGACTTGCTGTGTTGAGAAGAAAACAGCTCGTTCCACCCTCCTCTACATAATCATGACTGAAATCATCTAGGCTCCTTCTCTGGAGCCCCGTGAGAGTTGCTGAAGATAGAGGGCTACTGACTGGGTGGAACCTTAACTGGAGATATGTTATGGAGGTCACCCCAAGACCAGAATGCCAGGAAATGGGTGCAGCCTGTCATGGTTTCCCCTGCTTGTCTTTGAAGACTGGGAGTTTCTAAAAATGGCTCTTCAAGACAAAGATGTGTAGGGACCAAAAGACCTAAGGAAATCAAGACCTTCAAGGAATCCCTCTCAATTACAGAACAAGAGACTTCTGTTTAGCACGTTTTCTCCTCGTGAGCAACACTCAAGCCCTGCACAAGGGCCTCAAATAAATCACACATGGCTCTCAGAGTAGAAACCAAACCCTGCTTTATAAGGCTGCTTGGCCATCACTGGCATCTCTACTGAAATATGAGGTGCCAGGCAGGAAGTGAGGTGACAGAGGGTGAACCTTCTTCACCTTCTCCCCATCACCACTACCCCTCCAGCCCTCCAGATGCCCATATCTACAATAGAACCACTTCAAAAAATACTCTGATGAGGGGCAAAATGGAGGGGGAGAGAGGCTCAGGCTGGTCAGCAGGTCGGTTCCCTTGAGGTAGCTGAGTGCTCCCACTCAGGAGACCAATCATGGGCTCACAGCAGTCAGGAGGGAGTCACTGGCTGACTGGGAAGTAGAGGAAGCAGAAAGTCTGGAATTCTGCCCAGAGTACTTGAGTACAGGTAACACCTGGGTAGAGTGGTTGGGCTGTTTGCTGGTGCCCTCATTGCTCTTTGAGGATGAAGTCTTCCTGGATATGCGGGAAAGGCCAGCTTGACTCTTCTTGGGCTTAGATGTTGTCCCATCTTCAGAAGATGACATGTTTCCGTCAGAGCAGCTTTGCTTTCTGAAGGAAAAAACATTGCTGACGCTAAGTCTAACATGTAATTTATGCCCCTCAAGTCCAAGGCAAGCACCCACAATGTTATGGATATATTAATAGCCATAAAATACATTTTATTACTGTGGCAGTGAGATCTCAAGTGCAAGGGCCAATTGGAGGAAAGGGTAAGAGGCCAGGACTTCCTACAAGGGTATAGCTGAAAAGTATGCTTCTGCGGTTGGGTCTCTGTTGAGCATCCCACAAGTCACCAGGAAGAAAACAGCGTGGCAGTATATTCTGACATTCCTACCAGCCTCTAAGTGGAGAATCCTTTCACTGTCATAATCTGGGGAAAGAGGAAGGAAACTCTAACCCCCAATTCAATAGGCTTCCCTTGTTGAAGTAGCACTCACCTTGACTTGATGCGTTCTGATTTGCTGCTGGCACTGGATGCCCCATCACCCTTTGAGGCAGTCATGAGTGATGTTGGCAGAGACCACTAGGAACAAAGGAGGGTCAGTTGAGTCCAAGAAGGAATGCTCAAGATCTTAGGGTTGTTTTGTTTTGTTAAATCTCTGTAGCATTTTGGAGCCTGTTCTGGAATTAGCTCTGCAGACCAGGCTGGCCTTAAACTCTGCCTCTGCCTCCCAAGTGCTGGGATTAAAGGCACGTGGCATTTGCTACCACTGCCTGGCAGATCTTAAGGTTCTTGTTCAGCTCTGTCACTCTGTAAACACAGGACTCCACTTGCCCTACCCTATACCATGAGCCCATGTGGATAACTCTTGGTTCTCTCCCAAAAGAGACAGAAAATTAAGGCTACAGCTGACTTTTTTGATCCTTCAAAGACAGGCATCCGGTGCATTTTGCAAGTAACTACATCCTTAAAAGGAGACAAAGAGATGGGGCCTAAGAGGGAAGAAGGGAGGGGTGGGTACCCACATATCCACAAGCCAACCATAAGACATTTAGGAGCTTGAGAAGAAGCTACGCCCCTACACTGGTACACTTACCAGTGGAGCTGAGTCAGAGACGATCCCCGTGTGGAAGCCTTTGTAGCACCAAGTCCGGAGCAGATCTACTCCTAGGACAACATGAGCACAGGTTGGGACTAACAGAGAACAATCAATTGCTTACCTCCTTTCCAAAGAAACCTATTTCTTGGCCTAATGAGATTTAATCTCCTACTAAATATGGCCTCCCATGGGTCAGAAAGGTTTATTACCTTTAATCTTGTTTCCATGGTATTTCTGTTCCCACTGAGTGGTGAGAATGTTGAAATATCGTGGCTGCTCAAAAAAACGAAGATAACGAGAAGAGATTCGAGAAGGAAAAATTCTTTCAAATTGACCACGACGAGAAAACTCATCTTCCATCTCAACCAGAACCCGAACATCATCTGGTGTCAAGACATCCAGCACAGACGCATAGAAGTCCTGTGGCCCAAGGAACAGGAAGAAGGGCAATGTGACAGCATGAGCCAGACACTGAAATAAGTAGCTGGGGTTGGGAACAGAGCTTTAGGGCTCTAGGGCTCCAGGACTCCCGCAGAACTCCCACAGCTGCCTGATCTGAGGTGTGCCAGATCTTTGCCTTATCTCTTCCTAAATCCAATGGACTGAGCTCCTGGAGGAAGGCACTCTTGGCTAGGGCCAAGGAACCATTTGGGCTGAGGTGAAAGAGTGTGTTACTGAGTCAAGGCTAGTGCCTGAAAACTCAGATACGGCAGTCTATACCTGCCTTTCTCACATCCAGACCCCACATTTACTCTTGCGATACGATAAATGTGAGCTAAGATATCACAGCGCTAAGAGCTTGGTGACAACCATCCACTTTCCTAGAAACATACAGGTGCCAACAAGTCTCTGTGTATCACAAGATCCTGCTTCTTGGCAAGAGACTCTGATCTAGACAGGAAAGCTGATGTTTCTAGAGCCTTCGATGTTTGACTGAGGGCTGTTGGTAACTGTAGGGAAGATAAATCTCTTACCTGGTCAGGAATCTTCTGGGTCAGGTAATATGCTTTCTTCATCTTCTGTGCAGTAAAATGCTCTGGAGTCATTTGACATTTATCCCTAGGAGAGCTTGGCAGGCTAAGACAGGTGGACAAAAAGTAACAGGCAGGTCAGCAGCCTCTTGTGCGAGAAAACACAGAGAAAGGATCCAGTGCAAGACTCCTTCACTAGCACAGATGAAGACACATGGAGATGCTTGTCCCTTCAATAGATCACTCTAAAGTATACTCCATTCAAAGAGCTTGTCATCCACAACCAAGTACCATGGCATAACTGAAAGAGGCAGGCACACCAATTTGACAAAAAGAAGCCAGGAATAAGCCTGACTACAGGATGCTTTAGTTAACACTCACCACAAATCAAGCTCTACCCTATTGGCTGGGGAACCCTGGGGAAAACACTTTATCTCTGGTAGTTCAGTTTCATTATGACTTTGTTAACTTTCTGAGACAGAGACTAACTCTGGAACTCAGGATGGCCAGGAACTCACCATGTAGTCCAAAGCTAGCCTTGAATTTATGTCGATCCTCCTGCCTCCTTATTTATGGGATTACAGACATGGGCCACTACATGGCCAAGGTCACCTTTCCTAAAGGGGCTTGAAGAAAGTTCCTACGTGATAAAAAAGCAGTCAATGCCAGCCTCTAGGCTCGCTCAGTCCCTGCTCACAAGCTCCCTTTCTCACATTCCCATGTAACCCTAGAACTCCCCCTCCATTTCTCTCGGCTTTCCCTGGGAGAGAACCTTGACAGTTCAGAGTAAACTTCCCTTCCACCTAGAGTGGTTTTGTTTACTGAGCCCAATTTTCATTCTTCTGGTGCTGAAACCCCAGTAACGGCATAAATGAGCACCATTCCAAGGAACTTGGCTATCCCGAACCAAGATCCTGATCTGACTTTCCTAAGGTATGTACAGATCAACTGTTTCTCTGCCTTTTGCCACCCACCATATTTGGCCTCATTTCAAAATCTGTCTTGGTCTCTCTAGTGGGTTAAGTGTCACCCTGGAGCAGCATGCTTTGTTTTACTATTACTACAAAAGCCACACCAGAGGGCCAGGAAGCCCCCCCCCCCCCCCGCCCCGGGCTCACTCACAAGGACAAGGGATACCTCTCCTCTGTGTTTTGAAATATTTCTCTTTGACAAATTTCACATTCTGCTTGGAGACACACCCGATGGAAATTCTTGTCACAACGACACTTTATCCACTTCAGTACAGCTAGCATTCTCTCACCTTCCTCTAGGAACTGCAATTCTGCCTGGGCTCCCACTGCCTGTACTATTCTATCTCTTCCTTAAGCACTCCTAGGTAGTTCCTTCCTCAGGCAGAGCTCCTCCCGCAGTCAGCACAGCCTGCTTACATACTCCCGTTGCAGAATATTTGTTTACACTGTGACGATGTATCTTTGCCAAGGCACCTCCTGATTGGTTTAAAAAGGAGCTGACTATCAAAGCTAGGCTGGCAGTCCAAAGATAGTTCAACAATAAAACTTGCTACATATGACGTCCAACGTGACCAAGAAAAGCCTGAAAAAGCTTTAAAAAAAAAGTTTGGGATCAAACATGGCCTCCTGGTGACCACGGTATCTTGGGTAGGCTCAGCATACAGAGGCATGGCTCCTCTAAGAGACCTGCTGTGCAGCAGAGCACTTGAGCAGTCAGCCCACTAAGGAAAAATGCTGCCACATCAGCACATTTCCAGAGCTGGGGCAGTAACCAAGGCTCCCACTGACAAGCTGACATAAGGCCAGGTCCTCACAGAACTAAGGAGGGCAGAGCCAGGCCACCAGAGCCACAGGTAGCAGCCTAGCCATTTAAGGTTTGTCTCCCAGTCAGAGAAGGCTGCAGATACACAGTAAAATGGTCCAGAGGCCATGCTGGTCCACAGGGTGAATTCCAGGACAGCCAGGGCTGTTACATATAGAAATCCTGTCTAAAAAAACAAAAACAAAAAAACAAAAACAAAGAAAAGAAAGAGAAAATGTCTTGGCTTCAAAATGGAAGTTGGGAAATGGGTTGCACTGAAGGAGAGGTTATACATTTGTTTCCACAGGAAATAAAAAAAGTTATGGTTCTATTCAAAATTAATAAAGATCAGATTGCTTGGGAGAGACCTGAAAAATCTTGGCGACAGACCTGGAAAAACAAAAACAAAAACAAAAACAAAACAGAACTGCCCGGCGGTGGTAGCACACGCCTTTAATCCCAGGCAGAAGCAGGCAGATCTCTGTGAGATTGAGGCCAGCCTGGTCTATAAGAGCTATTTCCAGGACTGGCTCCAAAGCTACAGAGAAACCCTGTCTCGAAAAACAAAAAAATAAAAAAAGATTACAGGACAGGCAACATATACACTGAACCCTCTACTATGGGAACAGCTCTGAGACTGGATGAAACATAATAAATCTTGTTGGCTACAGAGTCCTTATGCCAGTTTGGTTATGCAGTCCAAATGGACTTATAAAGTTGACAGGTGCCTTTTACCTCCTCAAACATAGAAAAGAAAATCATCTTAAGCTGACTTGTGCACATTGCACATTCCATTCTTGTATTAATGCAGATAAATGTACCTGTAAAAGTTTGTGTTTTCAGAAAAAAGGGCCAGACGCAATAAAGACAAGTACCTAGGTGATCCAGTCTCTCAGAATGCCTGTTACAGTTTCCTCAAAATTCTACATCCAGAACAATTTCAAAGATGATAGCTGAGATGGTCTAGCCTCACAGACTACCCAGACAAGACTTAACACAGAGAATAAACTAAAAACAATAGAGCTAGTTCTCCCTGGACTTGACCATTATTGCAATTTTCTCAGGGTCCCCTAAAGATGCTGGACCACCCCCCAGACAACAAAAAGCAGTCTAGAAAACACGACCTCCCATATTCCCAAGAGGTGGGGTGGATGGTTTTTGGTTGTTTGGTGAGTTATAGATGCTTGTCATCATCTGGGGGTGGGGAGTTAGTTGTAAATTATTACTGATCATGGTAAGGGAAGAAACTTAAGCAAGAGAGGTTAGATTCAAGAACTTCTTTCTGAAAAAAAGGGGGTGGGATACAAGAATGCTAGGATATAAAGTAGAAAGGCCTGGCTTTCCTAGAGTTACTAGGTTTCCAGCTGAGGAAGAAAGATGACCCTGATCCTAGACTCTGAAAGGAATAAACTCACAGATGCATATAACACAAAATCATTTTTGTATCCCAAGTTTTTACTTGACTCAAAGCCATGAGTCTATCTATAGCTTTCTCTCCAATGTGGATTTCTATACAGATTACGATCAGTGGTAGATAACGCTAACATACATTAAACTTTTCTTTTTGTAAACTTAAAAAGTTCTTGTAAGCTTCAAGAAGTCCACTTGGATCTCATAGACTGACTCCCTTGTGGCACATAGAATAACTCAGATAACTGCCGAACAGGGCCAAGTACGCCTCCAGACATACACAGTGGGTAAAGTAGGTCAGTCACCAAGAATATCACCTTTTTTTTATTTTTTGTGTTTTAAGTTTCACTAAAATACAAACTAATCTCTAACTTGCATACGATACCCTGCCCTGCACCTCTAAGTGCTGGGATCACAGGTGGGAAATAGCTGCTGAAGTCAGCACTCTACCCCCTCGCTCTCTTGGGCTGAATGGCCCTGGACTGATTACTGCTATAGGATCTTCAGTGTCCTTATCTATAAACTACAATACTAATATGAGCCCTACAGAGTTGAGTAGACACACTGTATTTCCTTAACTATCCCAGGTACTTACTAAATATTAGTTTCCTCTCCTCAAGAATAGTTTCAAAGCTTTGGAGGTATGAAGGAAAATCTCCAAATTGAGGTACTTCATAAAGACGTCTAGAACTAGGCTTTGATGGACAGGGAATCTGAATGAGGGGCATCTTTAGAATGATGAAACCACATAAGCATAGGAAAGGTCACTACCTAATCCTTGAGGATCTGCCAAGGCACCAGAATCAGGCAGAATAGAAACAAACACCCAGGAAAAGTAGCTGGAACCTCCAATGTCTGAGTAAGGAGGTTAGATTTGGTCCTTGGTCCCCATGGAGATTTCTGAATAGAAGTAAAGTATTCAGACTTACTTTCAGAGTACTGATGTGGCAGTGATGTGTGAGCCATAAAGACCAAGCAGGAGAGAGGTTCCCAAACACATTCCCTCCCCAAATCACAATGGGCTGCTCATGCTGCCATCCCAACATAGGGAAGCTGAGAGGCAGACCTTGTGCTAGAGCCACTGGAGCTGCTGGGGCTGCTGGAACTGGAGAGGATATCCTCCATGTTGGGCAGAACAAAGCCTGCCAGGTTCAGGAGATCTCGGATCATCTGGCCCTTGATGCTGATGTCCAGGGGAGAATTGGAGTGGAGGCTGCAGGGGTAGAATGCAAAACAGGGTCAAAGCAGCATTCCAGAAGGATTCTGGGTCCTACATCCAAATGAGGGCTTCTTAAAATACCCACATGTGTGAGCATCTTCAACAAATATGCTCAGCTGGGAGATGGTGGAGTACACTTTTAATCCCAGCACTGGGGAGGCAGAAGCAGGTGGATCTCTGTTTGTTTAAGGCCAGCCTGACCTACCTAGTGAGACCTGTCTCAAACAAACAAAAAACAAGACAAATACCCTCAAAGACAACAAATAACCTCATGCAGCTTGATGAATCTGCCCATGCCCTTGGTTTGCTAGAAAATGGTAGGGATCAACAACTTTTAATAACCTCTCTCTATTCTTAAAGATCCTAAGTAAAGCAAAGAATCCGCGAGTCAGTAAATACAGACCATGACAAAGAAAAAGTGAAGGAGGACTTTCTCAGGTCAACAAGACAATGACAGGGATCCTGAGGATGAAAGACGGGCTCTACTCTGAGGAACTAACACCACCACCTTACCTTGGCGAAATGTTGACTTCGAGGACCCAGGGTTTTAGGTTTTCATCAAGCATGATGTCAAAACCAAAGAGTTCATGACAGCTGTAGGGGCGTCGCACATACAACTTCAGTAGGTTGGTCACGTAGGGCTCTGACCTGCCAGTGGGATATCTATAATTAGGAGGGCAGAAGCAACTTTCTCTTTTAAAGTGCCTCCTCAGAGTCAGCATGGGAATACATGCATGCAATCCCCATGTAGAAATCAGAGGAAAGGAGAAGCAGGGAAATTAGAAGTTCAAGGCCAACCTTGGCAACCTCAGACCATCTTATGGTGGTCATCATCATGAACACCACCCCTCCCCACCCTGAAACAGTGGCTCTTAAGGGATGTGCCTGATCTGGGCCATCACCTTGATAAAGTTTGGTAAAATGAGCAGTATGGTGGTTTGAATGAGAACTGTTTCCGTAGGCTCATATATTTGAACAGCTGGTTCCCAGTTAGTTAACTGTCCTAAGAAGTTAATCCCTAGAACGATTAAGAGGTATAGTCTTGTTGGAGGAGGTGTGTCACATGTGGTGGGCTTTGAGGTTTCAAAAGTTCAAATCATCCCAGTTAGTTCTCTCTGCCTTGCGCTAGCTCCCTGGAATCCTAAATCCCAAATTAAATGCTTCTATAAGTTGCCTTGGCCAAGGTGTTTATCACAGCAACAGAAGAGAGACTAAGACAGCAGAATTTAACTCTGCTTCTTCCTATCTCCTGTCCTCCAAACTGAAACAGAAAATGGGCACATTTTAGAGCACAGCAGAGAGGCAAGAAGAAAACATGAGGGTTCATGGCACACCCAACAGCCAAAGCAGCACTGACACTCACGAGATGATGGTTTTGACAACAACATCCTTTATCTTCTCCCAGATGGCATCACTATTAATTCCCTTCTGGCTCAGATAATTCCACAAAGCTTTTAGTGCCCTGAAGGGGAGAAGGAAGTATTTGGGGTTATGGCCTAGAAATGAGTGACAAGAGAAAAAAATAAGGAGTAAGAAGCTAAAGATACCTTCTTTGTATCTCCCCAGTGATATTTTGAAATAAGAAAGAGATGCATCTGGATGCAAACAAACCAATTCTGAAGTGACAAGTCACTATATTCCTCAACTACTGCCCCAAACCTCCCAAAGGCAAAGCCCTACCTAGGTTCAGGACAGAGTTTTGATAGAGACACATTGCCCTCAGTACCATTTGTGGCCCTGGCAGGCTGTCTCATCAGCATTGGCCTGGTACTCCGCATTCTTTTTATTGACACTGTAGTTGGTCAGGTGCATGAACTTGTTGCTAAGACTCTTCATGGAAGGGGAATACCTGGAAGTGAGAAGAATGGCAGAGGCAAGATGGCAAGAGCAGATGGAAAATAGGCAGATATTTCCCCAGGAAGAAGATAAAGGGCAAGTGCACAGATTTGTTCTGCTCCTGAAAATCCTAAGTTCTAGAACAGCACAGCTAATCTACTTGGCAACCTCAGTACCTCATTTCCCACCCTCCCACCTTCCTTACTAATGAAAACCACCAAGATATCTGTGCCTTTTCTGCTCAGAGTCCTCATCCCAACCAAACAAAGAAAATCACCCAGTGTCAGGGGAATGCCTCACGGCCAGCACATACTTGCAACTGGCAAAGCGGACGAGTCCATCCGAAAAGAGGTAAATCCGTAGAGGATCATAAGAAGTAACGTAAACATAGATCCGAAGATCAAATTTGCTGCCACTAATGAGGTAGGGCTTGTGTAGATACCTGCAGAGAGGAGAGGCTAACTTTACATCCAGCCAGATGAATATGAGCAAGCTGTGGTGAGAACTCTCAGCAGGTGGCTGGGAGGTCACGAGGTAAAACACTATAAGATGATAATTCAGAAACCAAGAAGACAGGAAGATGACGAGAGGAATGTGAGCTAGACAGGCTCACCTCTGTACCAGGAGGGGCCTGCGCTTGGGGAGCTGACTCCATTTGTGAATGACCTGAATGCCAATGCCTCGAGCAGATGCTGGCTAGAAGTCAAAGGGGAAGGAAATGAGATCTGCTGTTTTACCACCTTCGTCCCATCATCTACTTCTCCCTTTGCCCCACTCACTGGCTTTACAATCCACTTCTGGCGGCTGCTGCTCTCCCATGCTTTGCGCAGGAGCTTGGCATCCTGGGGCAGGATAAAGGACTGGGGGAAAAAACTGAACTCTTTCTTGCCAAAACGGCTCTGCATGCGAGACAGGTTCCGCCACAGCCGGTCCTTCCTCCCAATCTGGAAGGAGCCTGGAAAGTGGTTTAGCTACAGAAGGAACAAGAGGCAAGCAGAGGGAAAGGGCAGAGGTGAGACCAAGGGAAACAAGATAAGCCCCACCCCATCATTCCAACATCCCCCTGCAAAACAAAGTTTAAGTTCCTTTCTAACTTTTCTTCTGCCATCTAGACCAAACTAGAGTCACCTGGAAGAGTGAACTAATTAAAGAATTGCCTGCACTGGACTAGCCTGTGTGGGCATTTTCTTGACTAACTACTGATGTGAGGCTCACCTTGGGCAGGGCTATCCCTCAGTAAATGGTTCTGGGTTATATGAGAAAGCAAGCTGAGCAAACCATGGAAAACGAGCAATGCTTCTCCAGAGTCTCTACTCAGTTCCTGCCTCAGCTTCCCTCAGTGATGGACTGACTGCAAGCTGTAAGCCAAAGTAACCCTTGCCTCCCCAGACTGCTTTAGGCCAGTGCTTTACCACAGTGACAGAGAGGCAGACTAGGACAGTCATGCTAGTCACCTTGAGTACAATGGGAAAGCTATCACCTATTTTCTCATGACAGCATGGGAGACAAGGAAAGGAAAGCACCAGGCCATGGGGGAGTCTGGGGCAGGAGGACAAAGTGTTCCAACAGAACCGCAGAAACCTCTCTCCATAAATGTAGCTTGCAGAGAAGAAGCAGTTAGCAGTGATAACGGGAAACTCATCAACTAAAAACAGACAAGGCCTCTCAAGACATGGAGTGAAAAGCACCTGGCAGCAAAAGGACTGGGGTGGGAGACACTTTGCTGAGACCCCCACTGTGCTCTCTAGAATACGCCTCTGTAACTGTCCTCACCTGAATGCCCTTCCAACACTCCCTCCACTGCCCCAACAACACTCTCATCCTGGCCTGGTCAGTGGGAAAAGCTCCTTGGGAAGGACCCACCTTCTGATGCTCTTTAATGGATCGAAAACCAGGAGACTTCATGTGGTGACCCCAGCAGCCCAGCCAGTCATCATTCCCTGCAGAAGGCAATCAGGAAGTTAGTCTCACTTAACAGCTCAGGCAGACTCTGGGACAGAACAAGGCCTCACCACTGAACTCACAGAGTTACATGGAGCTGCCCTACACGAGACCAAAACAATGGTCTTCTGCTTCCCAATTCTGAGCACCTGGCTCAGCCCAGAGGACTTTCAGAGCTATCCCCTTCTATGAGGTTGGACGCTGCAAGACAGGGTCCCCATATACAACAGGGGGTCTCTAAGGCTCTCCTCCTGTCCAAAACCCATCTGGCAGGGCACGCAGTTCAGAGTAACTCACTCTTACTGATCTTGAAGTGCGACCGTCCAATGGTCTGCTTGACAATGTTAGGAGTCACTGTACTCATCTTCCACCGGAGCAGCTTCCTCTGTTCCCAGGGAAGTTTCTCCACTGGGGAAAGGCAAGGGCAGAGGGTCACAGTGAGGCGATGAAAAAGATGGCAGTGGTGCCCATTCTTTCCTAGGCAGACAAACCACTACAAATTGCTCCAGATCAGGTTTAGAGAGCTGCCCTTTATGGAAAGGGGGCTGTGCAGGAGTGAGGAGCAAAGGAAAAGCTGGAAGCAGACAAAAAAACAAATAGAGGCCATGTGCTAAGCCAGAGATTATGAGACTAAGAAAGGTCAAAGGACAGACAAGTTCACAATAGAACCTACATCCTGTGGAAACTGAGCACAAAAAAAGCCATTCTGGAAGAGCTCTCCCATCTTGTCCCCTCCATCCAGGTTAGCTGGCACCCTCCTGTGAGTTCCTCTGGACTGTGTCCCTTGGTTACATTTACCTCTTTCATCCCGAGTTCCAAAATAGATGGTAGGGGACACATTGGGGAAGAGACTGTAGATGAGGGCTGGTCGCACAACCTTCTCATGATTGGGAAGGGATTTGGACATTAAATTCACACAGCTCCTGTGATGAAAACAAACAGAATGAGAAAGGGACAGCTTTGAGGTGTTAACAGGATTGCATATGATTCTGAAAAGACAAGTGTTTGACAGTCATTCTGCAAGTATGAACTCATACAGTGCTAGAGCTAATCTACCTATAGATTTGTACATCATTAAGAGGCAAAGAGCCCAACACCCTGATAGCACATCTCCAATATCCCGTGATAAACTTCCCCACCATGGTCGGGGAAGACCCACAAAGGGTTTTGGAAGAGAAAGAGAACACTGGGAGAAGACTGCTATACTACAACAAAGAGAGGAGGAGAAAAAGGATGGCAGGGGAACTGAAAAAGAAGATACAGAAATGGTTTTTGTTTCTGTTTTGTGTTTTGGTTTCTTTGAGACAGGGTTGTTCTATGTAGCTTTGGCAGTCCTGGAACTTGCTCTGTAGACAAAGCTAGCCTCAAACTGATAAAGATCCACCTGCCTCTGCATCCCAATTGATGGGATTAAAGGTGTGTGCCGCGGCCACCCAGCCCATAAATATTTTAAGTGAGAAAAGAGCAAAAGAAAGAAAAGCAACAGTGAAAGTTCTGCCCTGCTCTATGTTTCAGTTCATGTGAAAACATAGCTGGCTTGTGTCCTTCTCTACTCTGGACTTTGGTGGCAACACAGGTCTGGATCTCATAGACAGAGGGAGGAGGAGGACCCTGGGCCAATGGGCTAGGTACTACTGAGCCAGCTCAGTAGGCACCAGCCACTCAGGTACAAGCCACTGGCCCAAACAATTTCTTTAAATAGCATGAAAGGTAAAGAAAGGTTTTTCTCTTTACATTGAACTGATATGAGCCACAAATATTACTGTAAGGTTAATTTCAGATTGTAAAGAAAACAAAACAAAACAAAACAAATATCTCAGTGGTAGAGCCCTTGCCTAACTGAGAAGGCCCTGTGCTTGATCCCTAAAACTGTGACAATACTTTTTAAAAAGTATTTTCAGTGCAACAGAAACAGGCTCTATATGTAAAATAATTCAGTGTTCTCTAACTTAGATTTCTTAAAATTTGTTTTTAAGACAGGAACTTCTATGTAAAGGCAAGGCTGGTCTCAAATTCCCAATTTTCCCACCTCAGTGTCTCAAGTGCTGGCACTGGGCACACATGGTGAAACTGAAGAGAATGAGCTACGACATAAAACAAAGAAGAGGCCAGAGGATAAGGCGGCACAGAAAGCATCTACACAACAGCTGGCAAATCCATTTCTGGGCATGTGTGTCCATGAAATAAAGACTTGTGTGTTGCAGACTATTCGATCAACCTGGGGACTGTTATTTACTGGAAAAACCTGTTTCTAGATGTTGTGTGGCTCAGCCCTAGCACATCCCTTGATCCAAGTGCCTTCTGCTTGAATATTGTAAATGGGCTTTAAAATGTCAATCACAGATCAAGAAGTGGAGCAAGCAACCAGTTGACAGGAACTGAACACAGGATTATTAAGGAAAAAAGAGACTAAGAGATAGTCAGGAGGACAGATAGAGATACACAGGAAGTAGAGGGGAGGGGCATTCAGTCTGAGTTTTTGAAACAGTGTAGAAGGGGGAGGATTTTGGGACATCAGAGGAGGAGGAATGAGGTCAGCCAGGTGCTTCTCTGCCTGAGTTTGCAGACTTTCACCACAGCATCTGGCTTTAGGGTCTTTATTGGTAAGATCAAACAACTGAGATTTTTAACATTCATGCTCACATAAAATACAAATGATTCTTTTTGGTAACTTCACTAATAGTTCAAAGTTAGAAACAACCCAGATAGGTGGATGGTGAAGCTAATGGCAATCTGTCAGTAGTGTGTGGCAGCAGCAGTGGCAAAAGCTGAGGTCATTCTATCATCTACGGTGACAAGGTCTGCGCCAGTCAGGGTTGTATGAAACCAGGGGCTGGAGAAATTGCTCAGTGGCTAAGAGCACTTAATTGGTATCCAGTATCTGCAACCAGAACCAGCTTCACTTTTATAAAACCAAGATAGGGTGGGCTTAAAAAGACAAATTATACAACAGACTGGGAACACATATGCCAGATTTCTGTTCACTCATAGAAAGATTTAACTTCATTTCTTTTGCTTTCCAGATACCTCTGCCTTCGTCTTGCCATCTTGATACTTTAGAGTCAATAAAGATGCTGCCGCACCATCGTATTTACAGACATGGCAGCTTTGTTCATGCTGACCCAGACACAGAGGTCTTCTCAGCTACCGGTAAAGCAGAGCAGACACACACAAAGTAACCAGTGTCAAAGCATGCTGGCAAGCCTTGATAGACAAAGCTAGATTTTAATTAAGAATGAGAACAGGTATTTTTGCACTAAAACCAAAATGCCAATTTTTTGTTCATTGATTTTTACTTTTCTAACTTTTTACATTTACTATGGTGTGTGTGTGTGTAATGATTGCCAGTGTCATTCGAGTCAGGGGGACACTTGAGGGAGTTGCTTCTCTCTTTTATCATGTGAATTCTGGGGCTTGAACTCAGTCATTAGGTGTAGCAGCAAGTGCCTTTACAAGCTGAGCCACCTTGTTACCCTTAATTTTCCATTCCTTTGCATTTTTAGAACAGAAAAACCTTCAATATCAATAAATCAGGAGGTTTTTTTATTATTTTTTTAAACAAATAATGAAGACAAAGCCTAATTCTAAGGCAAGGTTGGAAGGGAAACAAAAGATTATGATGGAGGATGAGATTTATTCTGTTTGTTTTTGTTTTTTCGAGACAGGGTTTTGCTGTAGTTTTAGAGCCTGGCCTGAACTAGCTCTTGTAGACAGGCTGGCCTCGAACTCACAAAGATACACTTGCCTCTGCCTCCCAAGTGCTAGGATTAAAGGTGTGCGCCACCACCGCCCAGCTTTATCCTTTATTTTTTGAGCTAGTATTTTGTATAGGCTGGCCTCAAATTTACAGTATTTATCCAGCATCAAATTCTGGAGTACTGAGACTAATGCCATGGCACCTAGAACCAAAAGAGTCTTATTTGGCGCTAGAGAAATGGTTTCAGCTTTGCAATAGATCTGAGTTCAATTCTACCATCCATATCAGGCAACTCATAACTGCTTATAACCTGATCTCCAGGGAATACAACACCTTCATCAGGACTCTAAAGCCACCTGCACTGACTTACACTGAGCAAGTCAGGAGGAAGGAGCCAGGTAAGACATATTCCTCCAAGGCTTCTGTTTAAGTTTGTGCCTTGAGTTCCTGTTTTGACTTCACGATGGACTGTGATATGTAATTGTGAACTGACATGACAAAAATCCCTTTCTCCCCAAGTGACCTAACAAGTGCCTTTTTGTTTATTTTTAATTTTTATAACTTATTTACTTGTGTGTATGCGCGCGCATGCATGCATGAATGCACTGAGGGGTACACACATGCTACAGTGCATATACAGATAACAGAAGACAACTTTTGGGAGAGATTGGTCCTCTTCTCCCAGCATGTGGGTTCCAGGGATAAACTCCAGTTCAGGCTTCGAAGCAAGCACCTTTACATTCTGTTTGGTCCAAATGTGTTTTAAATAAGAGTCCTTAAATAAGTTACAAAAGCCTTTTACAAAATAACATGCTTTAAACAAAAAATGCTTCCAGTATCTCTTGACATCGCATTCCAAAGTATTTGTTCCACAAAGGACTGAAATAAATGGCAAGACACAATGGTGCACATTACTAATCACAGCACTCCGGCAGATCTCTTTGAGTATATAGATGAGACCAGCCTTATCTATATAGTGAGGTCCATGATAGCCTGGGCTATGTAGAGACCCTGTCTCAAAAAAATCAAAACAAACACTTCTTAAATTACAGTTACATATAAAAACAGACAAGAAACTTGATGAGAATGAATTAGGGTTCTCAGGGCCAGTTAGGATAATGTCATTACAACCTTCAAGTGCAAGGAATGAGCATCTGCCAATGATCTGCACTGCACTCACCGAGATATTATTGCCACCGACTCACTGGGGGAGACGATACTTAAGGAAGAGCACTCTGAGTCTCCTGGAGGAAGAACAGAGAAATCCTCACTAGAAGATGGTGCTTCATGTGCACCCTCCCCGGGCCCAGGCAACTATGTAACATCCTGGGCTCTGCAATGAGCACCACCTCTGCTCTGCATTGCATTCCTCACAAACTCCTAAGTTAGGCCCCACAGCAAGTGACTGCTGCAGGATGTGAGTCAAGCCTGGCACACACTGTCATCCCCCTTCCCTAGTGGATGGTGACCAAACCCCGCAGTTAGAGGCAAAATGATTCCTTACCCTCCTCTTCTTCATTTTCATCATGGCTGCAGCTATCTTCCAAACCTAGTTCTTCTTCTGTATCTTCAGGCTCCACCTGGTTTGGCCGGAGGTCAGTAGCTGAACTGAAAGAAAAGAGTCATGCCTCCACCCAAGCCAGCTCCCATAACAGAAGCCATACTGGAGTCTCATTCCTTCACTGTTTCCCAGTAACAGTCTCCTCAACACTATGTTATCTCTTGCCTGTTATCTCATAAACTATTTCTCAGGTCCTCAGAATTTAGGGCCAGCCATAGTTCCTCAGCTTTACATCCCTTATCTGCACATCATTTTCTCTGAAGTCTGCTTATAGTATGTAAGTTTAAAATTCTGCATACAAAAATCATCAGTGAGTATCTGGTAATTTATATGTCCTTGGGATGCTCACTGGAAACTTAGAAGACCTTGGTGGATCGAGGTTCTGGAACAGTAGTAAGACACAAGAGAAGGAATCAACTATGTCTGTCTTCAACTCTGAATAGCTGTCATACCAGGAATGCATGGGAATACAATCTGGTTTGTAGTAAGGTGAAAAGTCATAGACCTTAAGGTGTGGTATCTGGAATTCTTACTTCTCCCCTGGTGATAACCTAGAACAGAGATGGGCAGATTCTCCAAAGAAACTATCAGTAAATACGTTCAGTTTTATACGTCATTCCGTCACAACTTTCCAACTCTACTGTTGTAGCAAGAAAGCAGTTAAAACAGTAAAAAAAAAAAAAAAAAAATGGACAAGGTTGCATCCAATAAAACTTTATTTGTAAAAGCAAGGTTTAGTCTACAGGTTAGTTTTCCTTCCCCACCTTAAAGTGAATCCCTACATTAGAGTGAAAACTAAAACTTGTAGGACAGCCAAAAAATAAAGCCAACTATCAGAGATAGAAAGCAGCAGTGTGGGGGCTGGGGAGATGGCTCAGTGGTTAAGAGTACTGACTGCTCTTCCAGAGGACCCAGGTTCAATTCCCAGCACCCACATGGCAGCTCACAACTGTCTGAAGATCCAGTTCCAGGGAATCTGACACCTTCATACCAATGCACATAAAAGTTAAACTATAAAGAAAGAAAGCAGCAGTGTGCCCAAATTATGGTGTAACTACTGTTCTGTTCTAAAGGAACCAAAGACAGGGTGCAACTTACCAGCTATCTCCAGCACATGAGCTCAGCTCCTTGGCTTCCTCAGGTTCCTTCCCAGGCTGGCCAAGATGGACAGAAGAAAGGCGAGTGGCCACTTCAGCTACACCTAGAGGCTGGAGGGAAGAAGGGGGAACAGGAGCTCGGTCTTCTCCAAGTAATTGGGGGTCACTTACAGACCCACAGGTAGGGCTGGGGTTGAGCCCATGAACATGCGAGGCAAGGAGGTGAATGCTGATCCTTTTGGTACAAAAGACTGTACTGTCCAATCCCAAGGTGTCTGAGGCACCAGGAAGGATCCCACTGTCTAATCCAACGTCCTCCTGAGGAAACCGCTGGCCCATCAGAGGTTTCCATCGCCTGCTTCTGTTGAGAAGACCCCACTGGAAGCTGGGGTTCACAAAACAAGCCTGTTCAAACTGGTAGCCTTGCCGTGGCATCTTCTCAAAGCCTTTTGCAGTCAACTTCCTCACAGCCTCAGTGAAGTGTACCTCTTTAGCAGTGCTCTGGGAATCCAAGTTCTCATCCAGGCCACAGGGATGTGCCTCCATCCTAAAGTTACTTTGACTGCACTGGGAAGAGGTAACACTGGCTGTGGATATGTTGAGGGTACTAGGGGTAGATAGGGTGGTAGGGGCAGTGGCATCATTTAAGACAGTGCCAATGCTTTGGGGCCCCTTATGGTCACCAGGCTGGGGTACACAGTCTCCAGTACCCCCTGAATGATGCCAGGAGACAGGTTGGATCTTGGGTGAGGATACTGGCTTCAGGCCATCTGTGGCTTGTGATAAGGGCACTTTAGTGCTATTTGGCCTCATGAAGGAGTTGTTGTTCAGCATGGGCTTGTAGGACAATGGAGGAGATGCAATCTTCCCTGAGATGGCTGAGGACAAGCTCTTCCTTGAAGGATTTTCCCCAGCTGCTGCCAGTGAGAGGTATGGATCAGTGGGTGAAGACGCCATGGGCTGGGCCATGGGGAAGACTGTAGAAGAGGTGGCTTTATTGGCAGTGACACTGACAGGGAGACCCTTCTGGGGGAGAAAAAACGATCTTTTCTCTGATGGTCTGGAACGCACGCAGAAAGATTCCAGTTGCTGGTACGGTTTTTGCCTCACGTTGGTGCGGCGGTACAGCAGAGTATTGCTGAACAAGTCAGGGAGAGACTGCAGGTAACAGGGACTGCTGTGACCTGCAATGACAGCTGTGGTCCCAGAGCTACATAAAGTGCTAGGGCAAAAGAAATAGGCTGGCTGGGGTGGGACTCCCAAGAGACTGGTGCCCAGCCCTGCTGACAGTGTGCCTACGTGCTTCCTTTCCAGCTTCCAGATTGGCTTCACCTGCTGATGGGCCTGAGACCAGACTTTGACCTCTGAGGGTTTCTCAGGTGGTGAAGCAGACACTGTGCCTGAGGGACGTCTCTGCCTGAAGCTGTTTCCTCGGCGCAGGCCAATATTGTAGTGTTCTGTTCCTGCTGAGGCCATGAGGGGCCCACATCATAGCAACATGGCCTCATGGCCTGGTTCAGGTAAGTTGCCACACACCTCTAGCACCAGCTGCATCCTTGTATCCGTCAGCCTGCAGGGAGAAAAATGATTGGAAATGCTGCCAGCTTGTAAGGATGGGTCCTATGCTATGTAAGTAGTAGGGTCTTGCTTCTGTTTTAGTGACCAGTCTTGGTCATCATTTGGGGTCCTGAGAGAAGAACACATTTCCAGGGAGCTTGCAGAGGCCTTTCTGAGGCCTTCGTAGGATCAAATCTGGCTTTCGCAAGGACTAAGACTTTAAGGGTCCACTAGTGCAAGGCTGCTCATGTGTCCACACTCTCAAAAAGCTTGCCTCTCTCCAAAGAGTAGTTGTTGAGTAGATATGATCAAGAGACACACACATATAAATATGGAACTGTCAAAGAAAAAAGTTGAAGCATGTTTTTTTTAAAATAAATATATAAATAACTGATCAAAAGTGTAGCCTGGGCTGCGGCTGAATGACTGCCTTCTCTACGTAATATGGCAGGGCTGAAAGTGGCAGGTCAGACTGTACCCCCTCAACTCATTCAGAAAGCTCAAAGGTCCAAGAACACATTTGCTCTATTGCTCTTGCTCCACCTCAACTTTTTTTGGTCCTTAAAAAAAAAAAAAAAGCAACAAACAAACAAAAACCAAAACAAGGCAAATTGAGAGAGAAACAGAAAATTTCCCAGCTCACTCTGAAATCTGAGCAGAGACAGCAATTTCATCTCTTCAAGAATCTTGTCAACCATTCAGGCTAAAATTCCAACCTATATATTAAAAACAAGAAAGCTGGACCTAAACACCAACATTATCCTCAGAGACCTTATCCTCAGCAGCCATAATGGAACAGAGAACTGAGAAAGCGGCAGGGGGAGGGGCAGGAGAGACTTCCATTCCAGGACCCAGACTGCAGTTTGGCTGCTCTCTGGGGTGGAGAACTTGCCTTGTTCTTCCAAATTTTTCTATAAAGTAGTATGTACCCCGTCTTGTCTCACAATTTCTTCAGCATGGTCACTGTCTAGATAGAACTCACAAATCACTCTCTAGATTTCGTAGCTGTGGGAAAGGTGGATCTGCCTGCATGACCACATCCAGAGGGAAATAATACCTACCTACTCACCTCAGAAGATGGCATCCTGATATTCCTATTAAGAGAGCTAGAGAGAAGGAATTAGCAGGGAGAATTTTGTTCAAGTTGCATTTATGATATAAAAATAGGAAGAGATTTTATATTTTGATCAGTGTATTGTCCGAGATCCCTGTCTACAACTATCAGAGGGAAGGTGCCAACAAAGACCCTGACAAAGTCAGGCAACATTGCCCTCCTTTCCTACAAATGCTGGCCTATAGGGTTTTTGTATCCTTTTCAAGAATACAAAAACATAACAAAACAATAGTGAGCTAAAAACAGTTTAAGTGCTATAAACAGTATTGAGGTCAGTATACTCAAAAAGAAGAGACAAAACTCCACTCAAGTCCAAACAATAGAAATCATGTTTAAGAGTCAATTACTCTGTACAGGTATAATAGAGAAGACTAACACTGAAAGAGTCAAGCCATGGCCAGGCGGTGGTGGCTCACGCCTTTAATCCCAGCACTCAGGAGGCAGAGGCAGGAGGATCTCTGTGAGTTTGAGGCCAGCCTGGTCTACAAGAGCTAGTTCCAGGACAGGTTCCAAAGCCACAGAGAAACCTTGTCTTGAAAAACCAAAAGAGTCATGCCCTACCAATGACTTTGTAAAATATAGCACATGTATATGTATAAATGAGTGCTGGGTATACTCAAAAGACTCATAACTCAACTCAGTCCTCTTCGGGAACCCACATCTTGCCCTACCAATGCAACACAACAGATACCACAAAGCAATAGAACAAAAGAGCTAAGGAAATAAAGCCTAAGACTGAGATCCCTTGAAAAGCAGATCCACTAATGGTTCCCTATTCACCTCCATGCTTTTGTAAGTTCTGGTCCAAGCCTTCACAGGTGAAGTGTCTAAGAGCACGCCATAGATTTCTCACCTATGCCAAAGAGAGTCCCACTTTTCCTCACTGCATAATACCTCAGAACTAGACAACCAGGAGAACCTTCCTTCTGCACATACTACTCACATTTTCTTCTCCGCAGCCCACCAGGTATTCCTCTGTGTCACGACACACAGACACCAACTAGTTTGATCTTTGTTTTTTTGACAGGGTCTTACTACACAGCCTTGATGAGCCTGAACTCAATAATAAAAACCAGGATAACTTCCAGCTCACAGATCTTTGCTTGCCTCTGTTTCACAGATCTGGGATTAAAGGCATGTGCCACTACAATTGACCGGCATGCCTTTTAATACAACTAAGGAGGAAAGAGTCTAAAGATTAAAATCCCATCCTCTTCAAAGGCTAAGGGCAGTTTGCTCCCATATGATGTCAAGCTGGCAAGCTCTATTAGCTCCAGTGTAGGTGAATTCTTTTCTCACTGATGAGACACTCGTGTCTCTGAGACAATCAATTCCACTCCTCTGTTCTCTGTAAGCTCCATGGTGTGTAGGGTAACAACCTAGAGGAAGGCCTTTGCCTTTAACAAAAGTGTCTGTATGTAAGGTCCAGGGAAGTGAGATGGTTTCTTTAACTATGACAAAGAGTTCCACAGCTCATAACAGACATCCAGGGTTGGCTAGCATGGCGGTGTCATGAAGTGCCAACAAACCTGTGTCATGTCCTGTTGACAGTGGCTCCAAGAACACAAAGTAGACAGTACCACTTCACAACAGAACTGCATAGAGGTGCCTCAATCCAGTTTTAGTACAGAAGTAATTTCTGGTTCAAACAAGGAAATGATGTTTGCTAAAAGTAACTTCTTTTTCTTTGTGGAAATCCCTAATGAAATCAAAGCTCAGTGTCTTGGGAAGCAGAGATTTAGTGACTATTCAAGCAGCCTGTGACCTCACCACTGCCACAGGTCACAGTTACCTGTGTGATGCCCAGTGCCTACAGCAATGTGTGAAGCTTAAAAAAGGTTTGAAAGGGTTCAAATTCTAAGAATTTGAGGAAATAAGCTAACACTAAGAATGGTAAGTTCTCATAGGCATAGTGGCTCATGCCTTTAATCCCAGCAATGGGGGGTGTGCAGGAGGCAGAGGCAGGCAGAACTCTGAGCTTGAGGCCAGCCTGGTCTATAGAGTGAGTTCCAGGACAGCCAGGGCTAAACAGGGAAAATGTCTCCAAACAAAACAGAACAAGAAAAAGTGCTGAGCTCCACTATCAAGTCAAAGTCACAGAGGCAAATACTGCCTGGCACCCAGATACCCTCACAAGGCAGCTTCCTGCTGGGTCAAGCCCATCCCCTTAAGTATTCTCTTTATTTCCGCACACAAGCTTTTCCCCTTCCCCCCCCCCCCTATATTCGTAAGTATATGCCTTTAGGATCCAGAGAACAGATTGCCCTTCTCCTAAGCAAAACGTTAGGATGAGTCAGCTGGGGAAAGAGAACAGGGAGAAAAGATACTAACTAGTATATGTGGAAGGCCATGCACAGACCATTGGTAGAAGTCTTTCTTCACAAATACCCAAGCTGGCCAGGTGTGTTAGCTCATGCCTTTAATCCCTGCATTCAGGAAGCAGGTGGCTCTCTATGAGTTCAAGGCTAGACTGGTCTACATAGTGAGTTCTAAGCCAGTTAGAGCTATACAGTAAGATCCTGTCTGAGAGCAAACAAAGACAAATACCCAATTTAGCCCGACATGGTGGCACATGTCTTTAATCCCAGCTTTTGGGAGGCAGAGCCAAGTGGAGCTCTGTAAATTCCAGGCTAGCCTGGTCTACATACTGAGTTCCAAGACAACTGGCACTACACAGTGAGACCCTGTCTCAAGATAAAGAAATAAAACCAAAAACAAAACAAAAAAAAACCCCAACTTAGCACGCACACGGTGTGCATACAAACATATACATACAGACAAACTCATATACATAAAACAAAAATATTTAAAAGTAGTCAACTTAAATCAAATTTCACCAAAGCAATTGATTAATTAAGCAAATTAAAATAAATTTTCTGAGAGTGGAGAGGTGGTTCAGTGGTTAAAAAGTACTGGTTTGCTCTTCCAGAGGATGAAGGTTCAATTCCCAATATCCAAACGGCAGCTCACAACCATCTGTAACTCCAGTTCCACGGGATCTGTTGCCTTCTTCTGGTTCCACAGGTGCCAGGCACATATGGACAAACATGTAGGCAAAACAGCCATACACATAAAATAAAATTTTAAAAAGATAATTTTCCACAAACTCTATTATTTAATTTATACACTTAACACACACACACACACACCCCTTAAAGAAAGCAAAGGCATCCGTACTTATTGTCTCTGCCAATAACAAAAATGACCCAGCACTTCCTGAACCTTCAAAGAACTTAAGAGAGCCAACAAACTGAACACACCTGGAAAACAGCAGTTTGAATAATCTAAAGTCTTATACAGTCAGTGAAATTATGATTCCTGTCCTTATATATAACCCCTGAGGAACAAGGAGATCTAAGAGGAAGAGTGTGTACAGAAACTGAGCTACTGCCTGTAGAGTTCAAGATTAAAAGAATACAAGGCTAAGTTCCTCCAAGTAGGCCCAAACAGGAAACTGCCCAGCAGAAAGGAAAGTAAAAGTTAATTAAGAGCACAGTAGTAGTTGAGAAGGGAATTCTTAGAAAGTCTCCCTGGAAAACTTTCAGGGCATCTATTTGTGTAAAAACAAAGGGCTGGAAAAATACACACCCCACTGTTAGTGGGGTCATCCTGAGCAGAGGGATGGGATGAAGGATTAGGCAGGGGAAGGTGAGGGGGATATATGATAATTTACTTCAAGACACCTGCATTATTGTTTGACATTTCAAACAAAATCCGCATTACTTGTGCGAAGTTTTCCAAGAGTCTCCAGGGTACTCCTCTTCCCAGCCACACTGCATTAGCAGCACCACCTCCCAGGAGCTCCTGCCCAGCAGAGCTCTGGTCGGCAGCTCATCACATTCAGTACTCAGCAATTAGTCTCTGTCAGTGCTGGGCCTCACAGCTGCAGTATTCTGGAAAAGGCAGGAGAGAGGAAATAACCATAACCCTATTAAGAGTTTCAAGAAACCAAATTTTAAAATTCACATAAGGCACAGAAGCATGGTATACCAGTCGGCACACAAGCACACCCATAACCACAGAATAGGCAGAAGGTTGTGAATGTTAGACCACCATAGTACCTGATCCACAATACACTGACCACATGGTAGTCACTATTGTTATTGATACCTGTCCTGTTTTTTATTTGTTTGATTTTGTCTTTTGTCAGCTTGACACAAGTTAAAGTCATCTATCAAGAGGGACCCTAAATTGAGAAAATGCCCATAAGACTGGCCTATTGGCAAGTCTGTGGGGCATTTTCTTGATGAATGATTGGTGGGAGGATCCGGCCCATGGTGGGCAGGTGGTCCTGGAGGTTGTGTAAGGAGGGTGGCTGAGCAAGTCATGGAGCACAAGCCAGTAAAGTAACACTTCTCTACGGTCTCTGCTTCATCTCCTGTCTCCAGGTTTCTGACCTGAGTTCTTGTCCTGACTTCCCTTCAGGCTGGACTAGAACTATAAGACAAAATAAACTCTATGTTCCTTAAGTTGCTTTTGATCATGGTGTTTTATCACATTAACTAAAAGCTAACTGGAGCAGCACTCAAAGACCCTATCTTTCCCCTCGTTCTTTGCAGCGGTTGGATTAATAAGCACCAATTATACTAGGTATTTGAACAAGTTTAATAACAAAACCAGACTCACGAAACCAAGGTTCCAGCGGAGTAGCCAGCGAGACAGGAAGGAAGGGGAAGGGAAGCGCAGCCTCTCTGCGCCTAATTTATCAGTAAACATACGCCCGAGGGCAGCCCGCCCACAAGGGGAGGGCTTATCCCTACATCTCCCTCTTTTTGTCTAAATAAGACAGAAACTGCTAAAAGAAATTAGAGGTGTAAACATACAAAGAGATAACATGCTCATAAATCAGAGCTTGTCTCACTATGAGCTGGGCAGTGGTGGCACACGCCATTAATCCCAGCATTCGGAAGGCAGAAGCAGGCAGATCTTTGTGAGTTCAAGGCCAGTCTGGTCTACAGAGTGAGTTCCAGGACTGGCTCTATAGCTAGTGAGATACCCTGTCTCAAAACAAACAAACAAAAAGGCTCACTATGACATTGGCAAATCTTTATGATTGACACAAAGACTAAATGTAATTCTTACCAAAGAAAGCTTTTCTGAAGAAACTGAGAAGTAGATACGAAAATCTATATACAAATAGCAGATCTAGAACAGGAGACATAACAGCTAGGAGACTTACTCTGCTTAATTTCACAATTTAGAACAAGGCTATGAGTCTAGTGTTAAGAATAGAGATGTAGGCCAATAGGACAAAACAGAGTCCAGAAATAAACCACGTTCTGACCAATTAAAAGTCACCTCAGCAATTACATAAAGGGTTCATCTTTTTAACAAATGACGCTGATGCAACAGGATGCTCCTGCACACTCCACTACCTACAATAATAACAGGAATCCACCTGCCATGCTCTAAAGTACAGAGCAAAGTCACATGTCCAAATGAGAAGTCTTTTAAATGTAGTTGTTTTAAATTCGCCTACTAGTAAACTTGCAAACTCTGGTTCAAGGCAACTTAGAGGAGGAGGCAAACACCAAGGCCTGGCAGATGAAGCTTAACGAAGCACTTTATGGTGCCAATCAACAAGCTATGGGGGTGCCGTTGCCTGAAGAATGCCATTAAAACCCGATTCTCCACAGAAACTTCACTGCCCACAAAACCCAAGTTTTGTCCTCAACTGAGATGCCAGATGCTGTCTATACACAGCTGAGAAGGAACCTAGGAGGCTGAGAAGGTCTCTTGTGCTAATGAAACAAGAGAAGCACTGTGGAAAGAAACTCAAGAGTTTCTATAGCCATTGTCATTCAAGAGGAAACAAATTATCTTTTAATCTTTTTGAAAGTAGATGGGAATGCCAAATTTTTGGAAAGTCACACTAGAGGACAAGAGAGGAGTACTAAGGACACTAATGAATCAATCTTTCTCCCTGCCCAATTAAACTTTAATTAGTATCAGGACAGGAAAGAGGCTGATATTCCAAATTAGGACTTTAATATACCAAAAATCAAAACCAGGTATGGAGGCAATGACACATAATTTCAGCACTCTTAAGTCTAAGGCAGGAGGAGCATAAGTTTGGGGCCTGGGCTACATGAATGACTCACTCTAAAAAACAGAAAGAAAGAAAGAAAGAAAGAAAGAAAGAAAGAAAGAAAGAAAGAAAGAAAGAAAGAAAGAAAGAGAGAAAGAGAGAAAGTCAGTCAGTCTAAGGGAAAGAGAGGGTGTCCAGCCCCAGAAGAGCAATCTGTTTGACACAGAAAATTACAACCTGTCAGCAGTAATGAGGACTTGAGCCTTACCTCTGCTGACCTTCTCTTCCACTCAATCAACAAGTATTGCCAGCTTCAAAAAAAGTTTGATGGGTTTTGTTGGGTTTTGTTTGCCCCCAACGCTACAGGCTTTCTCTATGTAACAGTCTTGGCTGGCCTCCAACTACCAGAGATCCGCATGCCTCTGTCTTCCCAGGTGCTGGAATTAAAGGCATGCACCAGGTTCAAAGTAAGTTTGCCACTTAACTGTTCCCTATCTGCAATCACCACCTTAATCAAGCCACCATCATCTGTCACCAGCTCAATTCTCTAATTCTCCATTTATCCTCCTTAGAATCTCCTCCTTTCTTTTTGGTGTTAGCCTAAAGCCATCGGATGCTCCTGAGCCTGCCAGGCCTGCCAGTGTAGACGTAATTCTAATTACTGAAGGATCATCATGATGATCACGGGTTCAAGTCTTTTAGGAGCTACAGAATGAATTCAAGACCAGCTTGGGCAACTTAGTGAAAGACTGCTCAAAATAAAAGGTAAGATATAGCCAGTAGGTGGTGGCACACACCTTTAATCCTAGCACTCAGACAACGAAAGGCAGGAAGATCTCTATGCGTTTCAGGTTGGCCTAGGCTACACAGAGAAACTCAAAAAAGAAAAACACCTTTAAGCTGGCCAATGGTGGCACACACCTTTAATCCCAGCACTCAGGAAGCAGAGGCAGGCAGATCTCTGTGAGTTCGAGGCCAGCCTAGTCTACAAGAGCTAGTTCAGGACAGGCTCCAAAGCTAAAGAGAAACTTTTGTCTCAAAAAACTTAAAAAGTGTTGGGATATAGCCTAGAATAGAGCGATTAGTTGTCTGGGCATGCACAAGGTCCTAGGTTCAATCCCAAATCATATTCTCATTCTCTCTCTCACACACACACAGAGAGAGAGAGAGAGAGAGAGAGAGAGAGAGAGAGAGAGAGAGAGAGAGAGAGAGAGAGAGAGAGAGAGAGAGAGTGTGTGTGTTTCAGAGTCTCCTCTGTTCTGTCCAATCTGCAGGGATACTTTTGCCTTGTTTCCTTAAGCAAGTGAAAACAATTAGTAGCCTATGACGCCAAAGAACCTACCTATGCTGTCTCAAAACAACCAAGTCTCTAGGGGCCAGACCCAGCTAAACTTGAACAAGCACCTATTTCTACAGAAAGCAATTATTCATTATGCACTGAGTAAATCATTATCTTGGATAACTACTGAGATCTGTAGTTTCCTCCATCTAGGTGTTTCTGTAGGTCACCTGGGGGAATTTGGGACACTGGAAATGGTTCATCATCTACATATAATCTACAAGGTCCCTGACAGGACCCCTTGCTGTAAGTAACTCACCTGGCAATAGACAGTTGAGTGACGGAATCAAACCCACTTCCTCTGACATGATAATCCCAAGCTCTAGCTACCCAAAGTAAGTTAAATAAGCAATTTATTTTTATTTCCCATTAGGAGTATTGTGTAGGTATTAGCAGATATGTGCACATCAGTGCAGGTACCCTCGGAGTCTCCTGGAACTAGAATTACAGGCAGTTGTCAGTGACCCAATATGAGTGCCGAGAACTGAAGGTAGGACCTCTGCACTTGCAGTAATAAGCTCTCAGACACTGAGTCGTCTCTCTAGGCCCAGGCAAAATGGATTTCTAGAAGTCACACAGAAGTCAAACTCCAGCTTTTATAAAAGGGAAGGTCAGGAGCCGGGCAGTGGTGGCACGTGCCTTTAATCCCAGCACTCGGGAGGCAGAGGCAGGTGGATCTCTGTGAGTTCGAGGCCAGCCTGGTCTACAAGAGCTAGTTCCAGAACAGGCTCCAAAGCTACAAAGAAACCCTGTCTCGAAAAAGAAACAAACAAACAAACAAACAAAACAAAACAAAAAGGTAAGGCCAGGATCACTACAAGTGAAGGTAAGTGAAGTCTCGGGTAGTTTGCCAGAGCACAGTACAGGACTACAAACTGAAAGAGTAAACCAAGAAAAAAATACAGGTCCCAACCAACAGCTAGACCCAAGAGAGTAAAGCTATAGATTACTGACAAGTGAAACCAGCCAAAGTTTCAAGTGACCAGATGAAGTTCTGATTTTATCAGTTGCCACACACACCTCCTTCCTCAGGTAAACAGCAGTCTTCAGAGCATGGTTCACAGAACCTGAGGGAGCCCTGAGACTCTCTCGGAGGTTCTGCTAGGTCAGAACTATTTAGATCAGAAAGAAGAGGGTATCTGCCCTTTCCACTGCAATGGGGCAAGGAAAGCAGCAATGGGTAAAGTCACTGCCACCCTGGCCCAACTCAAAACAGCAGCAGTTTAGCTTCTCCCACAGGATGTATTAACCAGCAACACACTGGAAGATTGCCAATTTCACTTCATAGTACTGCAATATATTTGTTAAAGGTTTTAAATATTCTATGTGACAAAATAGGCAGGATCTGAGGGTACAGCTCTTGGACAGCACTTGCCCAGAAAGATGAAGGCCTACTTTCCAACCCCAGCACCTGGTGAGATGGTGAACAAGAGCACTTAAGATACACTTAGTGGGGCGTGGTGGCAGGGTGGCAGAAGTCTGTAATCCTAGCACTCCCAAGGTGGAGGCAGAGGTTTAAGACCACTCTCAACCACATGGTGACTTCCAGGCCAGCCTGGTCTACATGAGACCCTTTCTCAAACAAAACAACTTAAGCTGCATACAGATGACTGTCTCAACCCAAAGCACTTGTGTGACTGCCAGATTTTTCTGTGGAACACCATGTTCACTTGAAAGAATGAATGACATAAGCGACAAAAGTCCTTCAGACTTTGGTATCTGGCAGACACTTCTGGACCTGAAACAAAGTGAAGCCTGTCACTTCAAGTACAACAGCTGACAGTAGTTGGTGCCAATGAGAAAATTGAGCTTCCAAGAGAAAAATCAAAATTTTGGCAAAACTGTATCTACCACTTGAAGCATGACTGCTTGTCTGGATGCTGATACAAATGACTTTTATTTTACTTTATATCAACTTTTAGGATTTGTGTATTTGTGAGTATGTGTAGATCTGAGTTATCACAGTATAATGTGGAGGCCGGAGACAACTTTCATAACTCTCTCTTTCCATTAGGAGGATTCCAAGGATTGAACCCAGGTCATCAGGCTTGGTAGCAAGTGCCTTTGGCTGATCAGACTCTCAATGGCCCATTTTTGGTGTCTTCAGACAAGGTCTTGCTATGTAGCACGTTTGGTCAAAAATTTATAGTCCTCTTGCCCTAGCCTCCCAAATGCTGGATTTAATAGGCCTAGTGGTACCATCATGCCTCCTTTCAAATTATAGTTTTAATTCTGTGTAAGAAAACGACACCATTTGGAAGAGTCATATATCTCAATCAGCACCTACCACGTCAAGTCATGGAGTCAAGAATACAAACTGGAGCCGGGCGGTGGTGGCGCATGCCTTTAATCCCAGCACTCGGGAGGCAGAGGCAGGCGGATCTATGTGAGTTCGAGGCCAGCCTGGTCTACAAGAGCTAGTACCAGGATAGGCTCCAAAGCTACAGAGAAACCCTGTCTCGAAAAACCAAAAAAAAAAAAAAAAAAAAAAAAAAAAAAAAAAAAAGAAAAGAAAAAAGAAGAATACAAACTGGTGTGGTAGTTATTCCACACTTGTGAGACTGATGCAATAAAATCTTACAATTCTAGAAAAGTCTGAGCTACCCAGTGAAACCCCAACTCTGAACAACCAAATAACAAAGCCCTACCAACCAAAAGTTGATCCTTCTTTTATACAAAACCAAAGTATAATACCCACAAACTTCTTGTGTTTCAGGCCCTTCTAACCATTTGAGGGCAAATTCTCTTCATATATATACATATATACATATATATATTTCCCCAAGACAGGGTTTCTCTGTGGGTCATAGTCTGGTGGGAAAAGGAACCCCCCTCGAGATCTTAGGTACGGAGCACACCCTGCAGCAGCTGCACTTTCTCACTAGGGATGGCCTTCCATCCGCATGGCCACTTTTTCCCTGGTACGCGCTCCTGCCTTCCTTTCCCAGGCTCACCCTTCCAATGCTGCTCTTCTGAGCTCAGTCTGTTTGCTTGGCACAGTGAACTCGGTAGGGACACTGCGATCTTCACTGCCACTCTCCCTAACTACAGCCACTTCCTACACTCAAGAGCTACAGACCTACAAAAATGGCTTCCTGAGCCCTTCTTCCTAGATGTGTTTGGAACAATTCTGCTCCAAAATGTAACTCTAATCTTATCCTTCACAGCTGTGTGTGGTTCTTAGTAGCTCTTACCAATTTTCTGACCCATGTGGTCACTAAAGTTGGAAACCCACATGATTCCACTTAAATCCTTGTCTAACTTTCTGCATTATTCTGCCAGCAGATTCTCAAGTCTGCCAGATTTAACATCTTTCTAAGCTCTGCATTCCCACGGTACCAACCATAAACTCTTCACTGTCTCTGGAGTGCTATTTATTCACTGGCTCCTTATGAGAGACCAAGAGTTAGACAAGACTGCTTGGTAGGCAGAAAGATGGCAAATTTCCAAGATGGCCAGCTTCTTCCTTAACTTCCAGCCTTGAGAAAAAATAAAAACCGCCATGTCTGCTGCTGACAGACTGGCCCAACACGTTCAGGGCCTGATTAGGACGTGTCGCATACAGTTGAGGACCAACCAACCATCCTGTCTTCAAACTGACCAGAGACTGGGTTCTCGGGATTTCCGGGTCGCCCCGGGTTTTGCAGAGATTTGTTTTCTCTGAGTGTCTGCTTGTGCATGATTCCGCACACCCATAAACGCCTTCCTTTAACTGATAGTCTTTTTGTGGTGCTTAAATTTCTCTGCTGCTACCTGTTGTGCTTCAGATTTTTCTTGCCTTTATCACTTGTATCTAGTCTGAAATCCTTTGTCAATCTACCCAGTAGCCCTTCTGTACTTAGATACACACCTGATGTCATTTTCCTGCTATTTTATCTTTACATGGAAAAATATACTTATGATTTTACTCTTTTCTTCTCATAAGATTTTTTTTAATTGTGTTTTCCAAGCCAAACCCATTAACTCACACTCACAACTACAACCCTGAACTACTTACAGTGAGTTCAAGGCCAGCCTTGGCTACTTAAATAACCCCGTCTTTAAAAAATAACCAGGGGGGCTTCTTCCTCGGCGCTACCTGCGAGGTGGCTGCCATCTCCTTTGCGGCATCATGGCTGCCCTCCGGCTTCTGGTGAAGCCCAAGATCGTCAAAAAGAGGACCAAGAAGTTCATCCGGCACCAGTCAGACTGATATGTCAAGATTAAGCGAAACTGGCGAAAACCCAGAGGTATTGATAATAGGGTGCGGAGAAGATTCAAGGGCCAGATCCTGATGCCCAACATTGGTTATGGGAGCAACAAGAAAACCAAGCACATGCTGCCTAGCGGCTTCCGGAAGTTTCTGGTCCACAACGTCAAGGAGCTGTAGGTGCTTCTGATGTGCAACAAGTCTTACTGTGCTGAGATTGCTCACAATGTTTCCTACAAGAACGGAAAGGCCATCATAGAAAGAGCAGCGCATCTGGCCATCAGAGTCACCAATCCCCACGCCAGGCTGCGTAGCGAAGAGAATGAGTAAATGGCTTGTGTGCACGTTTTGTGTTTAAATAAAACCACAAAAACTGCCAAAAAAAAAAAGAAAGAAAGAAAAAGAAATAACCAGGGGGCCAGGCATTCATGGTGCACACCTTTAATCCCAGCACTCGGAAAGCAGAGGCAGGTGGATCTCTTTGAGTTCTAGGCCAGCCTGGTCTACAAGAGCTAGTTCTAGGACAGGCTCCAAAGGTACTGAAAAACATTGTTTCCAAAAAACAAACAAACAAAAAATAGCCAGGGCTACATAAAAGAGACCCTGTCTCAAAACCAAAACACCCCCCCCCCAAAAAAAGGGGAAAAAAAATCACAGCTAGGCAGTGGTGGCACACCCCTTTAACCCTAGCACTCTGAAGACAGATGGATCTCTTGAGTTCAGTGCCAGCCTGGTCTACAGAGAAAGTTCTAAGACAGCCAGGGCTACCCAGAGAAACCCCATTCTGAAAATGAATGAATGAATGAATGATAAAACAATAAGAAAGAAAAAAGGTCTAGTCACATTTAACTGCTGTTCAGAATAGCCACAAAACAACAACAATCTGCACAGGAAACTGTGTATTAGGGAAAGACAGGAAGGAACTTATCAGGGTTTAGAAGGTAGCTTAATCACTACAGGTTTCCCTGTAATCAACAGCTCCAAAGAATTCCTAGTTTGGCATTTAAGGAATTTTTTTTAACTTTTTCATATAAATCTTCAATATATGAAAGATACATCCCTCCCCTTCCTTTTAGGACCCTCTTTGAAAAGAGTTACCTAGAAACTGCAAGTCAGAAAATGGATTCATTTAAACTTATATGCGAGATCTTGGGCCCTAAGAACCCCAGCTGCAAAACCACCCGCTGGAGGGTACAGCGCTAATCTAGAAAAAAAACCCATTAACGTTCCTCTCGCTAGCAGACCGCCCCCAATAAACACAACTCAGTGCTGCTTCTTTTCCGGCCTTGCTTCATCTTTTCTAAAGCTACTTTGTAACTTCATTGTCTTCCCACCTCTTCATTCCCACTGAACATTTGATAACACTTAAAGACAGGCTTAGCGTCCAGTCAGTAAGTAGCCAGTAATATTCCCGGCAACGAAGGGGATAGTTTTATGCAGAAAACAAACAAACAAACTCAGTATTTACTGCACCAAATGAAAGCATAGGATCGGATGGCATCTTCTCAAAGGGTCCTCCAGATCACTGCAGATTGGTCAAATCAACAGGCGCTGAAATTTTAGGAAGAAATTTGGAATAATCAACATGACTCCATAAAGGATGAGTTTCAAATAAGGATGAAAATATTTCCAAGATTGAGAACCGGAATGTAAAGACTGGAGGAGGGGTGACGTATTTTTCCAAACAAGCCTCTGTTAAGTGTTCCATTTCTACCACAGCACATACCAAGTATGGCAAACACTTACTTGATTAATTCCCCGTTCTGTAAACTCTTCGCTCGTTACCTGTTTGTTGATGTTTATAAAAACTGTTTGTAAATGATTAAGTGAGAAATATGGCTGGATAAATGTGTTCAATTACATAGGCTCACAGTTCCTGCTTGGACTCTAGGGAAGTGTCTATGGGAAACTCAGAGTGGGGTCGAGGAAAAGCAGGCCTTGAGAAGAACCTGGGCTCCAACCCAAACCACATTTTAAACCACAGCGCAGCGGGAAAGAGGACACGCTGGAGCCAGGACCGAGTAGGCTGAGGGGCTCGGGCCGCCCGAGAAGCCAACTAAGTTCTCCCCGCGTGGCGGCTGCCGGGGAGGACTCGAGAGCGGGCGGGGAAGGAGGCCGCTGTGCCAGCCTCACCGGAGAATGGCAAAGAGGCGAACCGGAAGCGGGGCTGGAGGCCCATGCCAAAGGCCGGGGCAAGCGGGAACGGCTGACCAGGGTCTGGCCCCAGCTCGGCGGCCACACTCACCTAGGGTACCCGGCTTCACCGCGGCTTGGCACGAGCTCCGCGCTGCTTCCTCGCTGCGCCTGCTGGGCGAGCGGGCGACCTCAGGTGTCCCTAGCAACCACGCTCCGCCACGCGCCCCGCCGCCGACGCCGCTGGCCGTCTGCCGCAAACAGCACCCGCCCCTAGCGGACAGACCGAAGGCCAGGAAGGGGTGGGCGGGGGGCGGGCCCGAGGCTGGCGTGCCGAATCCCAGCGCTTAAGCTGCCCAGAGAATTGGGGGAGGGGTGGGGGAGGTCTTTTTTTTTTTTTTTTTTAAAACGCGCAGCCTTGGTGGCACGCTGGAACTCTGCGAGCAGAATTCTGGGAACTGTAGTCCTACAGTTAATGGCTCCGTTCTGGGAATCCACAATTCAATTCATTCTACCAACCGCTCTGGACTCTCTTTGATCTTGGCGCGCCCAGACTCTAATATTAAAAAATTTCCACTAAAATTCCACGAGTTTGAGACAGATAAGAAGAGTTAGCTCAAGCCACTTTGACTCCCTCCAGCTCACATTTCTCTAAATTCAGCCACCTAAGAGGGACTAGACTAAGCTGGACATAGCTACAACGACCTGCTTTATGGGCTTCGAGTGACAACTTTAAGAACGTGTGAGTCCCTTCATTATCTCCCAGCACAGAACAGATCTGCTGCCTGTTTCAGACGTCGTTGGGACTACTGAATTTTGAGAACTACAGAGACAGTTGGAGGGCAAAAGGATCTTTCTCAGACAGCAAGCTACAGAAATTTAGTCAATGATAAGACTAACCTAATGAAAACAACTTAGATCACAGCAAGGATGCTCAACAAAATATTTAGGCAACAGTCATTTGTGTTGTTAAACTATCAAAGGATTAGTTACCAATCTTAGATCAGCAAGGCAGAGGCAATTGTCCAGTTTGTGTCCTGATGTGATTTGGATTACACAGCAGTATTTCTGAAATACAGCGTATTTTATAAAATGTTAAATTTTTTAAGATAATTTTAAAAATTGAATCTAAATCTAATCAAGCATTGGCTTTAAATTTTAGTATATAAGATATAAAGAAAAACTACTAAATACTGCTATAGAGTCATACAGATGCAGAATACTTCTCACCAGGGTAAGGGCATGGGAATTTAGAAATATAGTAAAGAATATGAAGACGTGAATGTAAACAATAAAACCGAGAAACATATAGGATAGTGTTGGGAGGGAATTTCTGTGAGTACTGAAAATACACCACGTTTAATTTCCAACTGCTTAAAATACCCCTTACCTCAAAAGGTAGGAGTAAGACAAAAGACTGCATTAACATTGTAATGGAAAAATTAAAAATGCTGCAGGATCCCCTGTAGCAGCAGGCAGCAGAAATGCTGTAAGTCCCCAAGCAGGGGTAGCGGGACATGTGGCAGGCAGCAGGCCCTGAGAGCAGCCAGTCCCAGGCAGAGACTGCTGCCAGTCCCCGAGTGGTGGCTGGTCCCAGGCAGGGAGACACGTGGCGGGTGGGCAAGAGACAGAGACATGGATAGACATGCCATGCAGACTGAAGTTGGATATTTATTCAGGAGGTTATGAAGGGGGAAGGGAGAAAGGGAGAAGGGGGGAGAGAGAAAAGGAGGAAGGGGAGAAGTGGGGAGAGAGGCAGAAGCGAAGCTGCCTCTCCAAGAGGAAGATGGAGAAGAGAGAGAGCTCAGGCCAGAAGCTGAAGATCAGCCTGCCTCAGTGGATGGGGGAGGGAGTAGGCGTGGCTTGTCTCTTAAAGAGACAGATCATTACATTCCCATCTCTTTTTTTATAATAAAAAAGCAGGGTTAGGCACCACAGGTCAAAGGAATTAAGGCTGTGGATTCTCAAGACTGCTTCCTGCTTATTTGTGGGCATCATTTTGGGGGGAACCTGAGAAGGCTGGGTTCTGGTCACATCCTGGCATAGCTGGTCTCTTTGCTCATGTCTGGTGTCTGCGGTATGGAAATGTCTGGTGTCTCTTACACCTGGTTAAGGTATTGGCAGAACAGAGGACAAAGTCAAGTTTAAGAAAACAAAATTTTTTGGACCAGGGAAACGAGGGGAGGGGTGTATCTGACCTGTTTAAGGTGGATCCTTCAATTCAGCTCCCTGGAATGCACAAGATTTCTTTGGGTTTGTGAAAACAGAAGTTTTAGACATATGTCAGAATGACTGGAACAATTTTTCCATTACATTGGTGCCGAGACTCAAGGGGCTTTCCTGTCACTGTTCGAAGGGTCGGGATCTAAAACCAGGTATTTTCTCCACAACAGCATGTTCCGTATGACTTCGATTGATGAGTTTCCCCCATTCTACTATGGTCACCTCCCTTAGCTAAAATTGTGTTTGGACTGTGTTATTCTTTTTTAAAAAATGCTGCAAGATCCTCACGGCAGTACGCAGCAGAAATGCTGTAGGTTCCAAATGGTGGTAGTGGGCCATGTGGTGGCAGGCAAGCGGGCTCTGGGAGCAGCCATGTGGTGGCAGGCAGCGGGCTCTGGGAGCCGCCAGTCCCAGGCAGAAATGGCTGCTGGTCTCAGAGCAGTAGCCGGTCCTAGGCAAGGAGACACATGGCAGGCGGGCAGAAGACAGAAACATGGATAGACACAACTTGCAGGGTGAGGTTGAATGTTTATTCAGGGGGTTAAGGAGGAGGAAGGATGAAGGGGGGGGACAGAGAAAGAGAGAGAGAGAGAGAGAGAGAGAGAGAGAGGAGAGAAGGGGAGAAAGAGACAGAGACAGAGAAGGGGGAAGCAGAGAAGTGGGGAGAGAGGCAGAAGCGAAGCTGCCTCTCCAAGAGGAAGATGGAAAAAGAGAGTGAGCTCAGGCCAGAAGCTGGAGATCAGCCTGCCTCAGCGGATTGGGGAGGGAGCGGAGTGGGAGTGGGCGTGGCTTGTCTCTTAAAGAGACAGAAAACGATAACAGACTGACCTGGCATCAGTCCGCCCACGCTAGCACTGCACAGTCTGTGCAGTACATTCGGCTGGGGACCCAGAGTCCCTCAGATCCTTCTTTCTCTTTTTTTCCATTTCTTTTCTTTCCTTTTTCCCCTTGCCGTAAAAGGCCACCCAGAGCAGCCTCTGGCCTCTCTGGCTTCTGAGTCACCCCGACCAGATCCAGCCAGGCTGTAGCACCCCACCTAGGGTCAGGAAACACCCGGCCATTGGTCCTTGTGGTGTTTGCACCGATTTGCATGCCGCCTATATGGATGCTTTGTGGGTTTCACAATTTCAGCTGTGGGTAGCGAGCCATCCATGTCTGTCCCCCAGCTTTTTTCAATTCCAGCTGTGGCATAGTGCAGCCTTTTTCTTTATTTCTTTTTTAAAAAAAAAAAAGATTTATTTATTTATTTATTATGTATACAACTTTCTGCCTCCATGTATACCCACACACCAGAGGATGGCGCCAGATCTCATTACAGATGGTTTGGAGCCACCATGTGATTGCTGGGAATTGAATTCAGGACCTCTGGAAGAGCAGACAGTGCTCTTAACCTCTGAGCCATCTCTCTAGCCCCTGGTGCAGCCTTTTTCAATCCCAGCCTTTTGCTCCCCGCTGCGGCTTGTGGCATGGTGGCATGGGGCATGGAGGCTCAACAACAGGGCGGATCATGCCTCTTGGTCTCTCTTATTATTAAGCTTAAAATCCCTGCAGCCAAAAATTGTGACTTTTCCATCTCTTATTGAGCTTAAAACCCCTACAGCTCAAAATTTGTGGCTTTTTTCATACAACATGTGACTGCTGCCATTTTGCCTGAGGTCATGTGACCTCACCACCATCTTCACTGAGGTCAAATGGCCTCACCGCCATCTTAACTGAGTTGCTTTTCTATACAACATGTATGTTACTGCTGCCATTTTGACTGGGGTCAGGTGACTTTGCCGCCATCTTGGCTGAGAGCCAGGTCAGGTGACCAAGTTCCGCCATCTTTACTGAGGTATTCCCTGCCTGGTTCCCCAGTGTTAACTCTGTTGCATGGGTGACCTTACCACCATCGTAACTGAGAGTCAGGTCAGGTGACTAAGTTCTCCCATCTTTACTGAAGTATACCCTGCCTTATCCCCCGGTTTAATTATGGGTTTTTTTTTTTCACTAAATTCCTCTTGTTCACTCTGTTGTATGTGTTTTGTGCAGTGGCATGCCTTTGGTAGGGCCCACCAAGAGCATCCACTTTGCCCAATTCCTGTTCACTCTCTCTCTCTGTGATCATACATGTAACTTAAATGCACCTATGCTTAATGTTATAATTGTTCATTACATCTCATTTCAGACTACAAAAGCAATAAGTCTCATGTTTTAAACTGGTTTGTACTTTTAAGTCTCTTACAAAAATACTTTATATTTAATCCAACCCTCATTTAAAGTATATTAAGCTGTTCTCTACTATTGTCAGTTCTGCCATTATCCTTATATTGCAAGCAGTTTTTTCTTCTTTCTGTCTTTTTACGAGTGTAAATCTTACCTGTTAAGAGCCAGTACAGTCAAGCACAGATCCAGCTCTCCAGGCAGATTCTATATGGTAGTTATAGCTAATAAACAGCCCTCAACTGCTCAGATATCTGGGGAATATAGCATTTAAATATTTAATTATCAAATAACTTTTCATAACAAAAAGAGACTGGTTGGGGCTGGAGAGATGGCTCAGAGTTTAAAGGCACTCGCTGCTCTTCCAAAGGTCCTGAGTTCAATTCCCAGCAACCACATGGTGACTCACAACCATCTATAATCAGATCTGGTAACTTCTTCTGGCCTGCAGGGATACATGCAGGCAGAACACTGTATACATAATAAATAAATATTTTTTTTAAAAAAAGAGAGACTGGTTGGCTCCTAGCAGCCGCACTCTATTTCCTTCAAAGAAGACATAAGACAAATGGGCACAGAACAACGTCCATCTTCAGTTTCCTTCAATTGCCAAGGGCTGAGCACTGAGTAAAACTGCCTTTCATCTAAACTAAAGATCTCCAGATGTGGGGGCCTGGAGAGATGGCTCAGTGGTTAAGAGCATTGCCTGCTCTTCCATAGGTCCTGAGTTCAATTCCCGGCAACCACATGGTGGCTTACAACCATCTGTAAAGAGGTCTGGTGCCCTCTTCCGGCCTACAAGCATACACACAGACAGAATATTGTATACATACTAAATAAATAAATAAAATAAATA